TTTTAGTGCCAATCTATAGAATAAAAGTGATGTCCAGAATTGTAACAACTATAGAGGAATCAAGCTAATGTGTCATATAATGAAAGTGTGGGAGAGGGTGATGGAACGCCGATTGCGAGATATAACAGAGTGTCAGAGAATCAATTTGGGTTTATGCCTGGTTGGTCAACAATGGAAGCGATCTATCTTTTGAGGAGAGTAATAGCAAAGTATAAAGAAGAAGAAAAGAGACATTCATATGGTGTTTATAGACCTTGAGAAAGCATATGACAGAGTGCCCCGGATATAATATGGTGGTGTTAGAGAAGAAATGGGTGACAAAAGTTATATTGATGACGTGATTAGGGACATGTATGAAGTGGTGGTGACCACTATTAGATCGCCAGCTGGAGACAAATGAATTTCTTATCACTGTAGGGTTACACCAAGGATCTACCTTAAGTCCTTATCTTTTTGTTTTAGTTATGGACGAGTTGACGATAAATATTCAGGATGACGTGCCATGGTGCATGCTTTTTGCAGACGATATTGTGCTAGTGGACGAGACTAGAGAAGGAGTTAACACAAAGTTAGAGATTTGAGAAAAGCTCTTGAATCTAAGGATTCCGGATAAGCAGAACTAAGACAGAATACATGGGAGTGTAAATTTAGTAACAGTAACAAGAAGCAAGGATGAGTGAAAAGAGGGGATCGATTATCACAACAGCGGGAGAGATTGATGCAGATGTGGCCCATAGGATTAAGGCGGGATGGTGTAAGTGGAGAAGTGCGTCTGGGGTATTGTGCGATAAACGAATACCCACTAGACTAAAAGGTAAGTTTTATAGAACGGCTATTAGACCAACTATGTTGTATGGGACGGAGTGTTGGGCAACCAAGAAACAACATGTAGATAAGATGAGTGTGGCTGAAATGAGGATGCTAAGATGGATGTGTGGTAAGACTAGACAAGACAGGATTAGGAATGAGTGTATTCGGGAATGGGTAGGAGTAGCACCGATAGAAGATAAGTTGAGAGAAAATCGTTTGAGATGATTTGGTCATATTCAATGGAGACCAACAGAGGCAGTAGTGAAAAGATGCGATGCTGTAACGGTAGATGGAAGTGTTAGGAGACGGGGTAGGCCTAGATTAACGTTGACTAGCGTTTTAAATAGAGATATGAATCTACTTAATTTAACTAATGAAATGGCCTTTGATAGGGCCGCGTGGAGAAGAAGAATTCATGTAGCCGACCCCATTTGATGGGACTTAAGGCTTGGTTTTGGTTTGGTTTGGTTTGGTTTGGTTATAATAGCAATGATAGCAATGTTCCTTCATGCAAAGAATTTTTGCATTAAATGTTCACTTAAAAGGCCCTGAATTGGATGTCACATAGGCATACCTTTTTTACGTAGACCTGATTTTCTCTTGTAATATGGAATTGGTCATAGTACACTTCGAAGCAATGTGAAAAAAAAAACTTGGAATAAGCACATCACATAGGCATACCATATCATTACTAGTCTTCATCAAATAGGGTTGCGTGGACGAGTTTTTTCAACGGTTGCTTTATATTCAGTTTCTTGTGGCTAAATGTTGGTAAGGATATGGAGTTTGTATGGATGGAAGAAAGGGATACCGTTTGGGATAATATTTAGATAGAGAGGCAAGGATTTGGGATTGCCAAATGTAAAAACTTGAGTTTGACAGGGACCATCACTGTTTAATGTCCTTTTACTTAAAATTTGGAAGAGATATTTATTGTTTATAGTGGGTATCTTTTTCTCACTTCCAATTTAATTGTGAGATACTTTTTTCTTCTTTCTTGGTCACACTATAAGATGCTTAACTAAATTATATTTGACAGTCCTTTCAGCTGCTGGTGGAATCAAGGTAGACCACCCCAATATGAGTAATGGTATTTTTCCTTCCCTAAAACTATACTGCTTCTTGTATTTGCTTCTCTAATTGCTACCTTTCTATAGTGTTTGATTTCAATTTCTTTTTCATTTTCTTGCTTCTGAATTGATACTTTTAGTCTCAAATTATATTTTGTTTGGTGCAACAGATGTAGTTGTGCTGGTTGCTGTTGTCATTTTGGTAGGTTTGTTTAGCATGCAACATTATGGTACTGATAAAGTGGGGTGGCTTTTCGCTCCAATTGTGCTGCTTTGGTTTCTCTTAATTGGAGGTATTGGCATATTCAACATTTTGAAATATGATAGAAGTGTTCTGAGAGCTTTTTCACCAGTGTATATATATCGGTATATTAGAAGGGGAGGGAAAGAAAGTTGGTTGTCCCTTGGGGGCATCATGCTTAGTATCACAGGTAAACACTTATATATATATATTTTCCTTAGAACCCATCCATGATTCAGTAAATCACAGAGAGACTATTGGTTTTGGATTCTGACGGTTAATTTTTAACTATTGCAGGGACAGAGGCACTTTTTGCTGACCTAGCCCATTTTCCAGTTTCAAGTATACAGCTTGCTTTCACAGTCGTTGTATTTCCTTGCCTTCTTTTAGCCTATTCTGGTCAAGCTGCCTTCCTCATAAAAAACAAGGACCATGTGATTAATGCATTCTATCATTCTATTCCAGGTTTGTAGTGTAATTAAATCGCATCTTTATCTTTATTAAGACCTTTTTATTTTCCATTGTCATTGACTAATCAACCTCTATCAAATCATGGTTCATATATGTACATTGATTTAGTTAACCCTACTACTTGATATGCCAAAATTGTTCACTTTTGTTTCTTTAAAACATCAACTAAAAAAATAAAATAAAAAAAGAAAAACACATTTTGTTTTGTATTTTTTTATTTTTTTTTTTACCCCTTCAACTTTGCTTTCATCAAATTCATAATCAAATTTATAGACATGTATTTTTCATTTAGCTAACCCGCTTAGTTAACATGTTGAAATATTCAACCTTCTTGATTAAAACTAGTTTGTATTATGTTCTTTGTAAATATATTTAAAGAATTCATGTAGCCGATCCCACTTAAGTGGCACACAAGGCTAAGTTTGGTTTGTTAATATACATTTCTATCATTCATGTGCCTTAGTTGCCTCAGTCTCGTGCCTTATGTTGTGCCCTGTGCTTGGACTCTGGGAGACCTCAGCTGCTTTGTGCACCGTGTGCCTTTAGTAACTATGAGATTGAGCTTGAAAGCTAGAAAAGTGTAACCACATTTAGAGAGGAGGGAGGAAGACAGAGAAGAGCATGTCTTTTCAAAATGTAGCTAGGAGCTAGTTAGAACTTTTTAATGATACAAATAATATGTAATATTCTTAAATAGTTTATAAAAAGTCCATATTTATAGGCAAAAAATCAGGTTAGCTGCCCAAAAAGAAAAGTTGCTTATAGTGCATGAACTTTTTAACAAGTTTGAGTTTTATCAAAATTGGTCCCCTTGAAATTAAATAAAAAGAATATATATTCCTCTACCCTTTCTCCCACCTTTTTGCTCCCTGCCAATGTACAGTATGTGGTGAATCGTTGTCGTACAACTAATTGTGATAATTTCTTATTTTGTAGATAGCATTTACTGGCCAGTTTTTATTGTTGCAACGTTAGCTGCTATTGTTGCAAGTCAAGCAACCATATCTGCTACCTTTTCAATAATCAAGCAGGCCGTTGCACTTGGATGTTTCCCCAGAGTCAAGGTTGTGCACACATCAAAGAAATTCCTTGGGCAGATATATATTCCAGAAATCAACTGGATCCTTATGATTTTTTGCATTATTGTGACTGCCGGATTCCAAAATCAAAGCCAAATTGGGAATGCTTATGGTGAGTTCATCCTGTGTTTCATTTAGTTTGAGTTCTATCAGTAAATTCATTCTGTCTATTTCATTTTTAAGAGAATATGCATGTGGTGGGAAGCCATATGTTCTTTAGTTGGTGTCAGCATAAGACTAATAATCTTCCTTTGGCATGAAATGATTCTTAGTGCGATACATTAATTTCAATTTCAAATGATGGAATCATGATCATGGAGGAGTAAGGGCATTTTTGGAGTAAGGGTATTTGTTGTATTTCCGCACTCGTGACCTGTTGCCCTAATTTTCTATGCATTTACCATTGAGGGAAGTCAGCTATCCTCATAATCTCTTGTAAGTTGTAACCTTTCTTATCATAGTGAAAACCGCAATAGCTATAGATGTAGCCCTAGTTTTTGGTAAACCACATAAACCTTGCGTTCTTTTTGTGTGCGTGTGATTTATCTTTCTTATACGTTTTTTCATTTCTGTGTTTCGTGTTTCACTATCCTGGTTAAGTGTTACAGATTCCTAACATATGAGATGGTCAGTATTCTGATTCACTATTAAGGAAAATTGTGTGTACGTTCCCATAAAAAAGACTGTTTTCCTGCATTTGAGGAAGCTTCTGTGTCTTGCATTCCATGTGTTGAAGCTTGGTAGACATTTTGGCCTCTACTGATTCCAGATTCTTTGTTCTTCATTTATTGCGATTTAGTTGGATTGATACATAAGCAGAATATTCTTCCATATTCTTGTTGTAGTCGTATGATTCTTTCATTCATGTATATAAAGAGGAGAAACATTTTTATTTTCTTTGTAAATGCTCAAAATAGTTAAACAGGATCTCAAATTCCACTTCTGTTATTCAAACGTTATGTGTAAGTGGTCAACTTCCTTACTCTGATGTAAAAAAACATATTTCATTCATGTCATAGTGCCCCCTTTCCCCGTTAAATCCTATTTGTATCACATTTTTTCTATTGAAATAGAAATCGAGAGCAGTGTATAATTGAAGCAGTCAACATGCTGGATAGATGTGGATCATTCTTGGCAATCACTAAAATTCCTATTATATTACTTGGTTTTTTTTTTTTTTTGGCGCAGGGACTGCGGTCGTGATAGTTATGCTCGTGACAACGTTGCTCATGATTTTAATCATGTTATTGGTGTGGCATTGCCATTGGATCCTGGTTGTCATCTTCACTGCCTTATCCCTATTAGTGGAGTGCACTTACCTCTCCGCCGTACTTTTCAAGGTCGATCAAGGCGGGTGGGTCCCACTGGTGATTGCAGCAGCCTTTCTCATCATCATGTATGTCTGGCATTACGGTTCGTTGAAACGATACGAGTTTGAAATGCACAGTAAGGTCTCAATGGCATGGATTCTTGGGCTCGGACCCAGTTTAGGCCTGGTCCGTGTCCCCGGGATCGGGCTCGTCTACACTGAGCTAGCGAGCGGTGTGCCTCACATTTTCTCCCACTTCATCACAAACCTACCTGCCATCCACTCCGTCGTTGTCTTCGTGTGCGTGAAGTACCTTCCCGTGTACACAGTCCCGGAGGAGGAGAGATTTCTCGTAAAACGGATTGGACCAAAGAATTTTCACATGTTCCGATGTGTTGCAAGGTACGGTTACAAAGACCTCCACAAGAAAGACGATGAGTTTGAGAAAAAGCTGTTCGATAACCTCTTTGTGTTCGTCCGGCTTGAGTCGATGATGGAAGGTTGTTCTGACTCAGACGAGAATAGCTTGTATGGCACCCAGCTGACCGAGCGGTCAAGGGACTTGCTGCTGAGAGATAATGCTAACATCACAGTTTCATCGGTGGACCTAACGATTTCATCGGTGGACTCGATCGTGCAGGTAAGATCGCCGACGCAGGTGAATCAGACGGTCACGTCGTCGACAAGCAATCGGACGGAGGTCGACGAGGTGGAGTTCTTGACCGGATGTCGAGACGCCGGGGTTGTCCACATACTTGGGAACACGGTGGTGAGAGCAAGGAGGGATTCAAAGATTCATAAGAAAATAGCTATTGATTATATATATGCTTTTCTTAGGAAGATTTGCAGGGAGAATAGTGTGATCTTCAATATTCCTCATGAAAGCCTCTTGAATGTGGGGCAGATATTCTATGTATGAAAAATTCTTTGGAAATATGATCGAATGAGAGAATATACTCTGGTTCTCATTTTTTTTTGCTTGAACATGTATAATTGGAGTTTTGTGCAGTTTGTATGGTGGTTTATAATTGTTTTGAAATAATATATGGCGAAGAAATTTCTGATGAATAAAAAATCTTGTACGGAATTTTTAAGGATAGAGAATTAATCTTCATGATGACTAATATTGATAGTCAAGAAATATCTCAAGAAGCAGATAGTATGTCTCTAGAAAAATTGCAAGTCATTCGATTTGGAGATATAATCGGAGAAGAAAAAACTTTTACCAAAAAAGAATTAGCAAAATTTTAAAAAATGCAAGTTGGAGTGTCAAAAATTTACAAACTTTCAAAATTTAACTCCTTTTCAACAAGAGTGTTTGAACAATACAGTGGTAACACTCAAACAAAATGGTCAGAATAAGGAATATTGACATTTCTTTTTTTGATAAGAAAAATGTTGCAAGACGAAAAAAGAAATATCCTGAGATTCAATATATTCATATTGGATTAATACAAGTAACCATAACAGCCCCACTACCACCTCCACTTCACCTACTCCACCTACCACCTACTACCTACTACCACCTAATCTTCTATATATAGGAATCATTGTAACATATCAATAAATGAATCAATAATACAATTCTTTATTTCTCTTTATACATTAAATTTCTACAAGATTTATAGGTGTGTCAGTCGTAGCCATCATAATGGTGGCGTAATGTCCGTAACGACCTGTTACACACCGTTAGGTAACGGTTCCAAATTGTTCTAGTTTGGTTTAATGTTAGACCAAATTTCTTTATTTCCATAAATGATCCTAATCTTGAGGACGCGGTTGGAATAAAAATTAAAACACGAGGATTATGAATGAAATCGAATTCTCATAATTTGGCTATTCGTTGGAAAACAATTCATGAATTGACCAAATTTCCTGAAATAAAAACAAGATCAAACGATAATAAAATCATTGAAATCTTTGAATCACCATTTGACATGATAATCCAACTCCGTTTAATGAATTGGAGCGATTTAGAAATCCCTTGACAATGGTTAATCCATGACCTAGTGGAACAAGAAAAATCTTTTTAAAACAAAAAATCCTTCACAAATGCAAATACAAACGTCAAGAAAAAATTTATATATTCAAAATACAGTTCCAAAAATTGAAAGATCAACTTCTATATTTGAAAAAGATTTTCCTAACAAATCATTTTCTAAATTAAGTACTAGTGAATCAAGTAATAATTCTAATTAAGAATCTATTGCTTCAACAAATGTTCAGATTCCTATTTTTCTAGGAATAAGAAGACAATCTGAACATATTAAATCCGCATATATGTATTATTTTCAAACAAAAAATGATGATATTATTTTTTCTCCTAACCAAGGAAAAATAAGATACACATATGTGTTGGGAACATTTAATTTTGCAAGTTATAAACCCTATAGTCTCAGTATTCTCATAAATATAGGAATTACAATCAGCTCATGTAAATGGAATGCCATACCAAAAGAAAAATGGATATTAATGAAACATCCAATTTTGGTTACTGGAATTGATGGCAACCATATTTTCATACAATTCAAGGCTAAAAATATAACTATTTGGTTAAATGATAGCAAGTTCATTATACCAATAATTCTATGTTTTCCTTGTATGCATGGATATTTCTTTATTGAAAATAATTTTATATATAAATACCTTCCAATGCAAATCGAGGAAAAAGCCATTTCATTAAGCATAAATAATGTCATGTCTTAATTCATATTCCCTTATCAATATAAATATATTTGTGATAAAGAGTTTGCGTCCGTTCCGCGAGGTGATTTAACTCCCATCATCAAAATTATTGATGAATCACATTGGATTTATAAAATTCTGGAATAAAATTTTAGTGAAAATCCATTGAAACTATGGCAACGTAGTCCACGTTATTGTGGTTTGAAATTAAAAGACCCTAATGTTATCATTAGAGTAAGACCAATGTTCTATACTAGATATAGATGAATTTGATATTCAACTTTAGGAACTTTTGGACAAAAAGTTAATCGAAGAAACTAAAAACTCTCACTCTAATCCAGCTTTTATGGTAATAAACCATACTGAAATTAAAAGAAGAAAAACCCGAATTACCATCAACTATAAACGGCTAAATGAAAATTTAGAATTTGATGGATATTTTATTCCAAGAAAAGATGTTTTCATTAACTTAACCAAAGGATCAAAAATCTTTAGTAAATTTGATTGTAAAAGTAGATTTTGGCAAATTCAATTGACTGAAGAGTCAACAAAATTGACAGCTTTCAATACACCTAGAGAACATTACCACTGGAATGTTATGGCTTTTGGTTTAAATATAGCACCACATGTATTTCAACGGTAGATGGATACAATTTTTAAAGATCTTAAGGATTGTTGTGTAGTTTATATTGATGATATACTTATCTTCTCTAAAACTAGGGAGGAACATAAGAAACATTTAAAATTACTTTGTGAAAATTTCCAAAAACATGGAATTATTTTATCACCAAAAAAGATTGAACCAGAAAAAGAATCAATTGAATTTTTGAAAATAATTTTAAATCAGAAAGGTTTAAAATTACAAGAGCATATTTTGTCCAAATTACGAGATTTTTCGGATACTCTTGAAAATATAACACAATTACAGAATTTATTAGGTATTTTAAATTATGGACGAAATTTTATCAAAACTTTTTCAAAAATAGAAATTCCTTGATTAACCAAATTAAGAAAAAATGTTATTTTTCAAATGGACAACAGAGGAAGTTGCTTTAATTAAAAAAATTAAAGAAAATGTTAAAACTTTACTAGATGTTTATCTTCCTAAAGCAGGTGATAAATTAATTTTAGAAACAGATGCCTCAAAAACATGTTAGGGATGTGTTCTTAAAACAATACCAAGTAACTTATAAAGAGATACCTTTATCAGAAAATGAGATTAAACCGAGAAAAAAATTCAATACCCATAAAATTACAAAAAGAAGAACTAATTTGTGGATATAATTCTGGAACATTTAAACTAAATGAAAAGAAATATATTGTTTTTGAAAAAGAATTACTTGCAATAAAATTGGCAATAAAAAGTTTTCATATTTATTTAGCCCCTAGAAAATTTTATTGTACAGACTGATAATAAAGCAGTAAGAGATTTATTAATCAATAAAAAACTTATTGAGTAAGGAAGAAAATTAACCTGGTATAATAAAATTTCAAAATATACTTTTGAGGTAGAACATCTTAGAGGTACTAACAATTTTCTCGCAAATTTTCTTAGTTGGAATTGTTTCAGAAAATTAAATTACTAAAACAAATAATTTTAATTTTTGCAGAAGACCACTAGACTAAGAGAAAAAAATAGACAAGGGTAAACAACCCGCTCAAGGAGATGGGATGACGATTGCTAAAAAGGCAATCCCTAGACAAGAAAAAGTTTATGTTGTGTTTGCAGGAAGACAACTTGGAATTTACACAGAATGGAATGAGTGCAATAAGCAAGTTTGCGGATTTCCGAGAGCAAGTTTTAAATCCTATGATAGCATGACTAAAGCCAAAAAAGTTTTTTACAGTGCACCAACTATGCCTGTTTATCAAAATATTTTTTGTCAAATGAGAACTAACCAGTTCCAACTAATATTCAGACATCTAAACCAAAAGAATCTGAAATAAAAGATTTTTTCAACCCTGGTATATGAAAAGAAATTTATACAGAACTCAATAGAGTTTGGAAAATTCACATTGTAGACAACAAAGTGAAATTTCGAAAACACATGGGAGTTCTAGCCAATAAATTAGTTGAGCAAATAGCTAAATTAAAAGATTTGCAAAATTTTTGTTTCAATATCCTTAAACAAATGAATTGGAATGAAAATTTTAATTTCGAAAAAATAAACAATTTTCTTCAGCTATTAGACCACATATCAGATGAGTTTTCTGATCCAATTTTTAAACAAATAAAAAGAATTTATCTTTTTGAAAATGCAAGAACTTTACTTTCAAAAGAAAATTTTCTATTAATCAAAAATCGAGTTGAGGATCATCGTGATAAGATTAGACAAATCTTAGAATGACCTTATGATAAATTAAATTTAAAAAATGGAATTCTCAAAATAACTATGGTGGCAAACCATGACATGCGATTTTTTGAATACATATATAACTAATCAAGTTATTTTCCAAATTTTAGATCCAATCCAGTGGATAGAATATTCAATGATCATAAAAACAATGCTCTCATGGATAGTAAAAGACTTCCGATGGAGTAAATATTTTACTTTCTAGATCTCTAGCTCAATTGGTTGGCAACAACGAGAACATTTTTTCTAACCATACCAATTTGGTATCTCAAAAAAACTGAAGATTTTGAATTTGAAGATGATAATTTAGATGAAGATCGCTAGAGGGAGCGATTGGAAAATATTCAAAAACTTCTTTTGACAGAATATTGAATAGACAGTCTAATAACTGTTTCACAGACAACTTCTAATATCTATGACTCAGCAAAATTGCCATTCATAGTCAAGTGTTTGGTGTAATTTTTATTTATTTATGAGACAAAAATATCTTCAATAAGTTGAAAAAATTGATTATTGAAAAGTTGGAATGTGTGTTTTTTAACTTTTGATTTTTTTATTTATTAATACCTCTTACTTTGCAAGAAAATAAAATATGAACCCCTTCATATGAAATGTTACATGTTAGTTATGCCATTTTGTTTTAAAATTTCATTTGGACTTCCCTTGGCTCACCTACAAATACATGAATGAGCGTGAGCGATAGCCCAGTGAAGTCTGCTAGAAATAACAGGAGTTTTGAGAGAGTCAGCCTCGTGCCTCGCGCATGAGACCATCCTTGCCCTTTTACTATGTACCTATGTTTTGTCTTGTTGGCAAGGACCTAGTGCATGTCTGTACATAGTCTGTTATAGGTTGACTCGTTTGGACGATCCTGTCTGTAATGAATTTTGTGAAACCGCACTTTTGATGTGAGTTATTAACGTATCTGAGTATGGTTTGTTTGATGTGCATATAAGCACGGCTCTATGGACAAAGTTTTTAAATTTTGCTTCCGTTTGGCCCCCATTAACTCTGTTAAAATAACCATGACATGCGATTTTTTGAATACATATATAACTAATCAAGTTATTTTCCAAATTTTAGATCCAATCCAGTAGATAGAATATTCAATGATCATAAAAACAATGCTCTCATGGATAGTAAAAGACTTCCGATGGAGTAAATATTTTACTTTCTAGATCTCTAGCTCAATTGGTTGGCAACAACGAGAACATTTTTTCTAACCATACCAATTTGGTATCTCAAAAAAACTGAAGATTTTGAATTTGAAGATGATAATTTAGATGAAGATCGCTAGAGGGAGCGATTGGAAAATATTCAAAAACTTCTTTTGACAGAATATTGAATAGACAGTCTAATAACTGTTTCACAGACAACTTCTAATATCTATGACTCAGCAAAATTGCCATTCATAGTCAAGTGTTTGGTGTAATTTTTATTTATTTATGAGACAAAAATATCTTCAATAAGTTGAAAAAATTGATTATTGAAAAGTTGGAATGTGTGTTTTTTAACTTTTGATTTTTTTATTTATTAATACCTCTTACTTTGCAAGAAAATAAAATATGAACCCCTTCATATGAAATGTTACATGTTAGTTATGCCATTTTGTTTTAAAATTTCCAATGGATGAGTTTATGATATGCATCCGTAAACCATTATGATTATGTTATGAATGTTGATATGATATAAACGTGATGCAAACCATACTTTATGATGAAAAATGTCATAAATATTATGGTATTTAGTACGAAGCATTGTGATTATATTATGTACATTGTGGTTGTGGTCCATGTTGCTTAAACTGGTTTTGTTCTATAAATGCTTTAATCCTTCAGCAATGACTCATCCAAAGCACCCTTCTTTGCATAAACAAATTCAACATTTTCTTCTTCTTCTTTTTCTCCTTCTCCTCCTCCTTTTGCTTAACAAATCAATCAAATGCACAAAATATCATGAAATTTTGAAGATAATTTGTACTTTTCATGTTGTTTTTTCCTTCTTTCAGTCTTGGTTATTTACAAAAAAGAAAGGTAAAAAAGAAAAAGATCAATTTTTTATTTATTTATAAATTTCATTCACTTTTCATCTCCCTTTTCTCTTCTTCCACAAATCCCTTTACAAACTCAAGATCAAAACACAGCTTTAGGTGTGGGCGTGTAAACATTTCAAAGTACAGTGGCATTATCCAATTTGCAAAAGAGATCCAACACATTGCTACTGCTACAAGTATGATGATAAATTTCACTAACTGTAGCAGAATCCTAATTTTGAACAATTTCTACGATTCTTCATGGTTGTTGATCCATTCATTTTGATGTATACATATATATAGAGCAAAAAAAAAAAAAAAGCCATGAACACAAAAAGCCAAGACCCAAGTTTGTATTTTCCATAGATACAGGTAAGTTCAGGTTTTACACTAAACAGTATGTACTTTTCTCCAATGACAAATCTGAAACCAACAAACCTATATTCTTCACACTTACTCTCAATGGGGAGCCCATTCACCCAACTCATATGTTACACAATACCTTTCACAAATACACACACACACACACATATATATATATATATTGGAACAAACAACTGGTAATTATTGCTCAAACATCCAACGGCACTACTTGGTTACCTGGTGATGACCTGGTGGTTTATACATCACACGTAGGCGCCTGGTAATTTCTGTGAATGATGGGCGTACAATGGGATCAGGGGCCCAACACTGCTCCATTAACAATTTCCATTCAGGGTCACAGTAGCTTGGCACAGTTGGCCTCAGTGTGTTATTGACAATACCTCCTGCAACCAAGGAGAGAGGTTGTCAAACTGCAACAGTAACGCCTCGTTACGGGAAAAGCAGAAGATTGGCATTTTTGCCAATGTGATGTGAGATTACAGGCTAAAAACTTCACTGTGATTCAACAATGGTAGAGCCAGAAAATTTATCCAGGAGGGGCAACCACTAATCATAACTTTGGCGAAAAAAATTTGTAATCAACAATAATGAAAGAGTGGTGCTACATGCACTAATTGGTATACTAATTAATGTACCAACATATGCTATGACATTGTTATTTCAAAATTATGGACCCCGCCCATTATACAAACTACAAGACCTAAAACCTCTAAAATTATGACATATCATTTATTAGTAGACCAATTGGTATACCAATGGGTGCGAATAGTTTTATTCATAATAAAATGATATAAAATGCTCAAGCTGATAATAAACATAAAATTGTAAAAATTCATTAATAAGTTTCAAATGTCTACTTTTAAATTTTATCTAGACAAGATTTATCTTTTAAAAACTTTGCTTGATAATATCAATATCAATGCAATAAAAAATGTCTTTCTCTATGTATAACCTATCTATAATAATAGTTACCAGTTTAAGTAATCTCATAATCAATATAGTTCACATAATCACACAATCCCAAATCATAGATTCAATAATCTTAAAAAGTATTTTATGGGATTAATGAAGGGGATTCTAGTCGGAAAAAACCTATAAAAATGGAAAAAGAAAAGGGAGGGTCTATGAAAGATAAAGGAGCATATATAAATTTTCAAGAGGGGCACATTGAAGAACTTTTCTAAACTTATAGACAAACATATAATTTTCCAAATGTTCCCCTCCTCCCCTCCTCAGGCTTAAGTAGATCCAATCCGCCAATGGATTCAAGGTACATTATTTATTGAAAAGCATAGATCAACGCAAGTTATTTTTGTACTGTAAATTATAAGGATGATAGAAGATAGTCTTACCACTTTGTGTATTATGCCAAAGGTTAGGTGTATACCCAATTTTTCCCCTCCCAAACACACATTAACGTGTACTAATTAGGCATTGTTTTTCTTTTTTTAGAAGATAGTCTTACCAAATGACAAGTAATTCGCTTTTTGTTTCCTATGGTTGATATTCGGTTCATAAAAATTCAATTTTTTTACAGCTTGCTCTGACACTTGTTGATTGGCAACACAGGCTATTCACTTTTATACTTCAATTGGTCTTTTTGTTAACCCATGTCACAATGTTTTCTGCTTAGTAGTTATTTTGTCCTAAGAAAAAATCAGCCATTATAATCCCTATATTCATCATTACAAGGTACCAATTCTCCTCATCTTCAGTATGTAAAACAAAAATACATTAAAAGATGTTGAAAAGTTTAGGCAAGTAAATATAATCAACTGAACATGGACTCAAGCATGTATGCACTTCTAATTAAGTAGACTTATCAAAAAGGAGAGAAAGAAGGGGAGGGAAGTTATGAACAAACCTATGATAGCTCCATAATGCATATTTGCATAAGGCTCCTCACCAGTGAGTATCTCCCAAAGGACAATCCCAAAGGAGAACACATCAACCTGCCATAAACAAAAAAGTTGGTCACAAATACTTCCAAGGAGCATGCATCTCTAGCCCTTTTTTCCTATTTGATTTCATTTAAGAACTCTGATCCTTTATCTTTCTTTTCATCTATGAAGCACCGGTACTCCTAAAATGTTGCCGTACAAGTACCGGGTACGTACCCGGTACGGGCACGCGTACCGGTACGGCTGCACGCGTACCGGGTACGGCCAAAAGGGGTCTGGTACGTCTGGTACATTTGGGTACGGCATGGGTGCAGAGGGGGTACGCCATGGGTACGTTCCGGGCAAAAAATACTCAAAAACTACATGTATACATACATAGAGAGAGAGAGAGAGATAACCTTGTGCTTTAAACACACCATAAACACATCTATAGAGGGAATCGAGAGAGACACAGAGGAGATGGAAGAGATCGAACCTGATAGTGTAGAGAGGCGTCGCCTTTGTGTGCTAGGGCAATGAAGGATTCTAGGGTTTTCTCTTCGATCGATCGATCAATCGTCTCTCTCTTTGACCGATCTTCTACTCACTGTTGATCGATCGTCTTCGTCTCTCTCCTTTCTCTTTCTCTCTCTCTCCGTCTCTCGATCGCCTCTGTTCTCTTGTTCTCTCTCTTCGTCTCTCGATCGCCTTTGCTCTCTCGCCTCTGCTCCTCTTCGTCTCTGTCTCTTTGATCCGTATTGAGGCGTCAAAACCTCCTCTTCGTCTCTCTCTCTCTCTGACTCTTCTTAGATATATAATATAATATATAATAATATAAGATATATAATATAAGATATATAATATAATTGGTGATACATATAATATATAATAATATAATAAATTTTTATATATAATGTAATTGATCATGTATAATATATAAATATAATTGATCATATATAATATATATAATAAATTTTATAAATTATAAATTTTATCATATATAATAAAAATTATATATATTATTGGCGTACCGCAGCCGTACCCGTATCATACTTTTTGAATTTTGACGTATCGACGTACCCGCAACTCGGTAAATCCCGACCCGTACCCGTACCCGTACCCGTACCCGTACCCGTACCCGTACCCGTACCCGTACCCGTACCCGTACCCGTACCCGTACCCGTACCCGTACCCGTACCTGTGCTTCATAGCTTTTCATACAATTCCTTCTTTCTTCATAATTATTAATTAATTAACTAAAGAAAAATTATGGATGACAAAATGAGAAATGAGAACCATTAGAGCACCCAACTTTGAAGTCATTAACAAATTTAGCACTGGGAAACTATAACGTTTAGAGCCATCCTCAATCAAATTCTTCTCTTGATTGAAGCTTTGTTCAAGGTAGAAATTCATTGGTATGAACCGATAAGAATTTTGAACTAATGACCAGAGTCATGCATTCATATTCTGCCATGTTTTGAGACAGATCAGTAGAAACTACTTTTAGACCTTCCTTTTACACTAGTATAAATAAGATACGACTGGGTAAGAACTCACCTTTTCAGAAACCTTACTGCTGCTACCATTTAAAAGCTCTGGAGCCATCCATGGAAGGGTTCCCCTAACACCACCAGTAACCAATGTATTCCTTTTAATTTTTGACAAACCAAAATCACCCACCTGGACAAAGAATATATTAGAGGTTGGCTTGGTTTGGAGCCAGAAACCACGAAAACATCTTGGCCCTATTATGCCACCAACATTAATCATATGTTCCAAACCATTTGAAAGAATCTTGTTCCTGCTACAGTAAAAACAAAAATGAATTGCAATACCACTACGTTGTTACCTTGCAAATGGGCCGTAAAGGATCTTTTAAGTTCACCAGCAGGTTATCACATTTTAAATCGAAATGCACAATATTCTTTGAATGTAGATACTCCATTCCAAATGCCGCATCCATTGCAATTATGAGCCGCTTGCGACGATCAAGCTGCCTGAATATTTAATACATTAAGGACAAAGAGGATAAAAAAAAAGAGTGCAAAGTACAGTAAGTGTAAGGTTTTTAAGAATTAAGATATTACCTATCCTTGCAAAGTAAAACATGTCTAAGAGAACCATTCACCATGTATTCTGTCACAGTGGCAAGTGTTCCTCCTGGTCCATCCTGCACCACACCATAAAATGCCACCACATTGGGATGGTGAAGCTTTGAAAGAATATCAGCTTCGCGCCAGAACTCCACCGTCTGCAAGAATGATTGCTAGTTATCTAATGCAGAATCAGAAGAACTTAAATAGAAAATCTCAATCCTCCTCAGTGAGACAAGGTTCTAGAAAATAAGAACTTGCAATGAACTATTCAAAATGCCTGATCTCAACTATATGGGTCCTTCCAGTTTGTAGTCAGATTCATCTTGCAATAAAAATGCAAATGGTTACCTTAGGCTTGAGTAGCACACCTGAAACTTTTTTTTGGTTTATGTAACTCTCTGTTTCATCCATCAAGCAAACAGGACAAAAAATATTTGATAAGATAAATGCATAGAAGCTCACCAGTCTCTCTTGTTCGGATGACCGCCCTGTGAAACAGCTTTTCTTTATTCGTTTAATGGCAACATCTGTTCCCCTCCATTTTCCATGATAAACAGTCCCGAAAGTTCCAGAACCCAATTCCTTCAACTCTTCAAGATCTTCGTTCTTGATGATCTGCTTCAGCAACCATATTTGACAATCAACCACTAGTGACTAAAATTAATTGAGCAGTCACAAAAACAAATAAAATTAATTATCGTTTTAAAATATTTTTCATTATGCCTAATATTTCTTCTGCCAACCAACCAACACGTTGATGAATCTCCCATTTGCAACAAACAAAACATGGCATGTTACGGTGAAGAACGTGTTACCGTGAAGAATGTTTCTTTCTCTTTGTATTTTAGGAACAGCATGATGAGGAGAGGAACATTAAAACTGTCACCAGAAAAAATAATCTAAATTGTATTCAGGTTTCCTCATTTGTGAAGGCAGATAATAAAAAGCCAAAGGCTTGAGTGAACAAGTGGCTTTTCTACCAACCTTGGAAAATTCCAGATAGAAGTACTCATCAAGAAGAGCTAATCAGAAAGAGAGGGGAGAAAAATACTTGCCTAATGAACTAACCAACCAAGGGCACACTAATAGTTTGTTAGAAAACACAACATAATCTGTTCAACAACCAAGGAGTCTACAGTTATTTTACACACAGGCATTGATGTGGAGGAAGCACAAGTAGCAGAAAAGATGCACCAGTAAGCAATAGTGGAGGCGAATGTGCTACTCGGGCAATTCAACTTGTGATTTAGGTGCAAAGCATTGGTAACATTTTCTGTGTTAGCAGTGGTAATGACACCGTAGATGAAGACTCTGCTGGTGGCAGCGTCAAACTGCCATCAATGGTGAAGGTGGTATTTTTCAGCAATGGAGATGGTGGTTGCATGTTGGTTGGTAAAAGGCAATGGTTTCCTAAGCAGTGAATTTAAGGTACAACAAAATTCTTTCTTTTTCTTCCTTTTTTTTATGCTACTTTGCTTACACGAAAGAGCTTTCGATGTTCAAACCAAACACGACATTTTTTATCCAAACTTTTCTTGTTTTTCCCCTTCCTAGAGCAAAACAATATACTCCATAACGCTATCCGCACAGCACTTTAATATTATTTGTAGGAATATGAAGTATAAAAGATAGTTTTAAAATAACAGGTTTACATCTTTTTTTTCTTCCAGGATCAGCCCCAAAAGGAAAACCCACAGCACATAATTGCCATAGTAAATGCTATCAATACCAGCAAGATACTCTTTTATTGTTTTTTTTATTTTTTATAACGAGTACATACCTGCAAGGTGCTAAAATCCAACTCTTCCACAGAAGGATCCACAAAGGGAGCCCCGGCATTCTGAGCTTCTAACTTCCCATCCTTCGAATGAGAAAATTTCATTAGAAATAGGACAGTCATCAAGCGCACCAATTCAGTTAACGGTATGTATTATTAATATATAAGTACCTCAATATCAGATTCTAGTATTCTTGGGTTCACCAAGCCATCAAACTGCGTGCTTTCATTGCCATTAATCTGACTGTTCTCTGGATGCAGATCCATAGTGTTAGGTCCAACTGCACCAGATGACTGTGGCTGGAAACTAGACTCATAATCGATATGTGAATCCATATAACTCATGGCAACTCCTTCAGTTTTCAAGGGCGGAAAACTATAATCTATTGGTGCTCCTTTGGTATTTGTAAGCGGGTTTGAGAAACCAAGGTGATCTTGATCCATAAGAGAAATGTCTTTTCTAACAAAATCACCTTGGACCAGCTTCTGGAAGAATGACCAACGCTTAGGCTCGTGGTTCTCCATGTTCAAGCTCAAGCCAGATCCATCACCATGCAACGGACCAATTCTAGTCAGGTCCTCAAAATTTCCAGCCTCGGAGAAAATATCAGTTAAGAAATCAGGAGGGAAACGATCATTAATATCGATAAGTATGTCCCCCTGCTCAGGAGTGCCACCACGAGTAGACTCCCCTTGAGAAGGAGCTATAACTGGGTTCTCAACCTTAGCAAGTGATTGTGCATGCCCCTCGGTATTATTCCCATTGTTCTTTTTAACAGTTACTTCAGCCCGATGAGACTCTGTGACCTTAGAAGCAGAATCCTCCTGTCGCTTACCAGAAGGTCCTCGGCTTAGTGCTGGATGATTCATTGCAGATGTTTCTTTGTCAATGTCTGAGTGATCTCTGTGATTATTCACAACCCGGGCCATTTCATGGCCATCCACAGGTGCAAGCGCTACAGGCTTTAACATGGAATTCTGAAACTTTGACTCAAAAGCCTCCTCAGAAATCTTGGAATTCATTTTGTCGACATAACCAGCTGCCTCATTATACTTGTGAGATTGTGCTGGTCCATCTTCCACAACTTGAGGATTCATATACAATGGTTTTACAGATGAGACAGACTGCTCTGTCTGGAAAGCCACATTCCGATCATGCATCATATCAACTGATTCTACCATTTGATGTGACCGATCAGAATGCACATGACTTATAAGAAACTGAGGATCAAAAGAATCATCAGATTTTGATAAACGATTCAGTTCTGCTTGCTCCCTGGGAATTCGCTCAGAATGAAAAACCCGCTGAGGAACCACTGGTGGTTCGAGATAGGTAAATTCAGCAGAATCAACCTTGAATTCATCATATCTGGGAGCAAATGGTGTGACAGACGCATTGAAGTGGTCGTTTTCATTAAATTTATCTGAGTTCTTTTCATTTAAAGCTCCAGGGGGAATTGCATCGTGTACAGGTTCCTCATGCTTCTTATGCTTTTCTGTAGGCAACAAAGATGCTCCTGTGTCGGCTACAAATTTGACATCTGAAGCTTCCCTAGGAACATAACTGGGAACAGAGCTTTCAGTTGGATGTGAAGAAACAATGCATTCCTTTTCTAGATTTACATTTTTTCCCAGTTCACTCATTTTCTGGACTGAGCTATCTCTCTTCATTTTTGCCTCCTTTACAAGAACTTCCTTCTCTAGAGAGCGATTTTTTCCAAGTTCCCTCATTGTCTGAACTATGCTCTCTCTTTTCGTTTTCTCGTCCTTTTTTGACACTTCTGGGTCCTGAATATGAGAGCCACTGTATGTCTGCTGCTGAGCTGATCCTTCCTGTCTAGTTATATGCCCGTGCAAAGGTATCGGAACTGTGTTTTCAACAACCGGTGCATATGAAGAGCAATGAGAAACATAATCATATTGCAACGGACCAGATGATGGAACAGTAGTTTTGCTATCTACATGACGAAGGTTCTCTCTAGGAGGAAGAGTAGGCACCATTGGCACTTCTCCTCCATGATCCACCATCTGACCCTGGTAAGCCTGTGGGATGGATTCATAAGCATTAGCAGAACTTGGTGCCACTGGCTTAGAAGATCGATTTGTTGATACAGGCATTCCAGCTGCCAAAGGTGCAGGTATAGCCACACCTAATTCATCTGCAACTCGCCCTGTCTCCCTTTCAACATTTAATTTCAATAGCTCATCCAAATTGTTTTCTAAAGTGCTTCCCAACCCAATTGAGTTCTTTCTTGATCCTAGGTCCATGCCATTCACTGCAACTACATATTGAATTTCAGAATCACCCTCCATACTACCCAGACCCAGCTGAGAATCATCCAAATCACTGCTAGAAAAGAGAAACATCCTGAGTTTCTTTGATCCTCCATCTTCAACCACATTGCATTCCTCCATCATATTTTGAAGGTCCTCATCACAAGACACAGATACCAATGCATCAAGATCCTCACCAGGAAGCTGATATTTAATTGTATGAGCTTGACTGCAAATTGTCAACGTTTTCTGCATCAGCTCCTGCCAGGAAATGCCCTTGCTTACCCGAATGATACGTGTTTCACCTCCAACATATCTAAGCTTTCCATCACTCGGACGGGGCAAAATTTTACCACCAAAACTGCAGAGAAACTTGACCTTTGTTGATGAGTTATCAGAAACTTCTGAAGAGGTATAAGCATGAGCTCCCCGACTACTGTCATTTCTTGATGAGGTCCGAGGTACTGATTGTGTGGACTCACAGTACCCTTTGTCTTCATGTGCAGAAGAGCCCCTCCTTTCATATTCATGGGCACGGCTTTTATCCATTGAGGAGATCATAGAGATATCTGATCTGTTTTCAGAACCTGCATGACTGATTCCCAACGCTCCCTTCAGATCTGTATAACTAGTTGCACTGTTAGAATCACCAGAAGGATTTGGAATTAAGTGTTGCCTTGAATTCACCCTTTCACGCATGAATTCAAACTCCTCACCAGTCTGAATAGAATAATTGAGCACAGGTCTAGCACCAACTGGTATATTGAACTCTGGAGGTCTCATATTAGTATTAATGGAACTAGATGGATCCTGAAAAAATCTTTGATTTGTAGAACCAAGTCCCTCATTTCTAGGTTCCACAGAACCGTATCGAACTTGCTCATAGGTTTTATGCTGCTCCATCATACCTCTTCCTGTATTTCTCTCCATTTAGCCCAACTGCACTGGTACAAACACCCTAAAAGAAATACCATAAATGTCATAGCGATGCATTATCATCAAAAACTCTGTGCTCGTTCCAGGACATCGCCGATCACAAACTTCGTTAGCAGAGATAAATCTTTCCCAAAATACAGAATTATAATTCTCAACCAGGGATTCTGAAATAAGAAATGACCTTTTGCTTATTTCTTAAGTCGGTTAGCCTGCAGGGAACTCCTCTAGCTTAACTTTTAGGCAATCAATTATCTTCCCCGAAGAAGATAGGAAACTGCAAAGCACAAGAAACCAGGACAGAGAAAACAATAAATCACCACACAACGAAATATCAGACTTTAGAATGTTTCACAGAAACTGACTAAAGGATGCTGCAGGAGTATGCAGAAGAAAGCAACAATTCAGTTACCACTGGATGTGCAATTGGTAGCTCTTTCAGGGTGAATTTCTCCACCAAAATTAGTCCCAGTGAAACGTCAATGATATTATACAAGCACCATTTAGCATGCATAGCTTGGTGCCTCAAGGTTATGATATTAGAAAAATATTTTCCAAGAATGGAGTACTTAATAGGAGGATATCAAGTTCAAGATGGGAAACACAGTAATCCCCATGCCCTTTGCCATTGTAAGGGATTATAAAATCCAAGGGTGACTCAATATCTCTCAAGGGAAAATAAAAGTGTATGGAAGATGAAACCTTCCATATGCAAAACTCCAAACGAATTTTTTATTTTTGGGTAAGCAATGCAAAACTCCAAAAGGTGAGCAGTGGAATGCTTGAAAGTATTAGTAATGGGCCCCGTGTATTACTTATCCCCTGCACTTCATCCCCCTTAATCCCAACCCGGCATACAAACAGGACCCATATAGTTGAATGTGAATGCATTAAAAAATCCAAGGGTGACTTAGCACACAATATAAAATGAAAGTGTATGGAAGTTGAAACCTTCCATATGCAAAACTCCAAACAAAAATTTTTTTTTTCCCGGGATAGTAACGCAAAACTCCAAAAGGTGAGCAGTGCAATACTTGAAAGAGTCTTAGTAATGGGCCCCTTCATCCCCCCTAATCCCATCACGGCATACAAACAGGGCTTTTATAATTGAATGTGAATGCATTGAAAATGTTTGCCATCCTAATAAATTGAGTTTTCGAAGATCGACTACCAAGATATAGTGGAAAGTATACTCTTCATATGTAAAATATGTATACATATATACTTTATATAGAGAGAGACTTAGCACACAACAGGCACAAAAATAACCTAGTATATACATATGCATGAGAATCGAAATCGACTATAATATATTTATTAACACAAATCTAAGCACGCACCTTACATGTGAACCAAGAAAAGACCGAAACAATAACACCCATCATCAGAATCAATTAAACTTTAGCCTCTAACTACTAAAACCCTAAATTGCAAACACAGAAATGATCAGCTCATCAAATAAACAAAGTCCTCAGAGCTTCCAGAGAGTTATTTTACCCATGTATACAATCAAACAGATCGAATTCACCCAAAAAAACTTGCGATTCCGATCAAAATTAAGAACTTTAGTGAAATTCAACAGCTGATCAACACAACAAAGTGAAAATTCAACAGTATTGATCAATAATTGATGAAAGTAAAATTGAAAGATTGGATTAGTACCTGAAACAATCCCTAAAATCCCAAGACTCTCTCTCTCTCTCTCTAAAAACTCTCGTTTCTGTCTCTACAAGCTAAAAGGGATCAACTTTCCACTCAACATTCTCTCTCTCTCTCTCATTCTCATTGAATGGAAATGTTTAACACACTCATATTTGATTTTGACTATATAAAGAAACCAATCATCAGGATACACGTGGCAATGTGGTCCTACGGATATTGTGTGATTGGACCGTGAGGGAAAGATCTGGTGCATCAATGGGCCTTGGCCCGGTGGGTTGAGGGTGTGAACCCAGGTTTGTGCCGTAGGCCTGCCTGTTGTGGATATGGGCATATTATTTGATTGTTTAATTTTTTCGTCAATCAGGTTTTAGGTTTGCTACCATACAAAAATAGAACTCCTTTTTTTTATTTTTCAAAAATATGACTCTTGGATGGAATGTTTTGTATCATTTTTGTTTGGGTGCTTCAGCAATGAATCCAATTTTGGATTTCTATAGTCTAAATTTGTCTATAAGGACATGTTTTTGCGCAATGACCAAAAATACTCATACATATATAAATGTTGTTTAAAAATCAAAGCCCTAGTCTCTCAAAACTAGTGCCTCTCTCTCTCAGTCTCTCTCCCTCGACGTCGCTCCACCACCCCTCACCCTCTATCTCTTCATCACTATTTTTCTCACCGACCACCTAACTGAGATCCTATCGCTTCTGTAGGCAATGGCATTCCTCGATACTCATCCAGAGGTTCTTGCCAAGGTTCGCCATGAGGCGGTGGTGATCTGGTCGTCGGAATTAAACACTCCGATCTCCACTGATTATTGAGAGAAATGAAGTACACCGAGGCAATGGCGCGTGAGGTTGTGAGAATACACGCTTCGACGGCTTTTGTACTTCATGTCATCAATTCATGGAGGATAGGCAAGCAAGCCGCACCCAAGGGGTTTGATGTGAACAAGTTGCCACTGGCGGAGAATGAGGTGGGAGAGATCTCTCATAACTCTTTCGCTCTCTCTCGACCCCTTTTTTTGTGGTGTTAGATCAAAGAAACCCTAGCTGATCTGACACCACCGTAGCTTCGATCTCTAACTCTCTCTATGTGTGAAGATAATGACGATGATAATGATTAATTGTATGATGATACCGTAGTTTTTTGTTTTTTATTTTTGGTTGAGATTTATGTTTATGTTTATGTTTTTGTTAAGCAAGTAAGAACGATAGAGAATAAAGATTTGAATAGAGAAACAAAAAAAAAAATTGGAACATATGGGGTTTGGTTTGGATTGCAACCAAAGTTTTAAAAAGTAATCGCAACCGTTATGTAACGGTTGTGGTGGTTATTGCCACCTGTTATGGCCGCTATAACGGTGTGACGGAAATTCACATGTATAACGGTCATTTTAATGTTATATAACGGCCGTAGCGGTACCGTAATAGCCGTAATAGTTCGTTAAACATCGTTACACCCAATATTTCAAAATATGGCGTTACATAACGGTTGCAGCGGTAGGCACCGCATGTTACCCCTGCTTTTGCGGTGTGATTAAAATTCACAGGTGTGTCGACCGTAGCAGTTGTCATGGCGGTCGTAACGGTGCCATAACGGTCTGTTACGCACCGTTACGTAGTAGTCCTGAACTGCTTCTTTCCAAAAGAAGAAGAAGAAAAAAAAAACTGAAAATGGGGGAAGATGGATAGAGGAGAAAAGAAAAGATGGAGGAGTAAGAGATAGAGAGAAATAAGAGGGAAGATGAAGAACATGTTATTCATTTGTTGAAATTGTAAAACCTATGCTATCCTATTCAGCTGCTATTATTCAACCGTTTTGTTTGTGTGTGTCTATCTATATATTGTTTGAAAATAATAATAATAATAAGTGTGGTCATTATCTATTTAGCTTGGTTAAAATATTACTTTTGTTATCTAGGCTTTTATTTATTCTCTTACTTTTGTTATTGTTTATCTTATACATAATAGTTAGTGATTGATTTTTTTGTAAAATATCTAGAAAATATAACACCTATAATTATACATTAATACATATTTTATACATGTTAATATTTTTTTTATTAGTTTATTTTACTTTTATTTACAGGTTATCCAAAAAGAAAATGAATATTCAAATGATCCAAATCTCAAAAAAAAAATATATATAATTTATTTTTAAACTTTTTGTATAATTACATTAGCATGTATAATTTAATTTCTAAAACAATTCAAGTTAAAATTTGCGTATACTTCCACAAGTATAATAATTAAAAAAATAATTTTATACATCTAAGTCCAATATATATATATATTTTTTCCACAAGCGTAATATGGATTTATGACATATAAAGTCATTAATTATTAAAATAAAATATAAAAAACTCAGTTTATAGTGATTTAAAAATATGAAATATATTGGATCCTACTTAAAAATTGATCAGTATTTATTTTAAAACCAATAAATATGATTATGAAAAATAATAATAATATGCGTATTGGTAAGTTTTTTTTTTCAAATTGTGCGAAAAATAAAAAATTTACGGTTCCGGTTGCTACAACAGTTATGCTACGGTCTTTACATCCTGCAACAGCAACCACACCACTGCCACCGTTACAGTGACTGCAACCGATTTTCAGAATCTTAATTGCAACATATAGGTGTTGGTTTGGCTAGATCGAAAGGTGTGAAAATTTAACAAATAGTGAGAAAAAAAAATGGAGAGAGGAACAGATAAAAAAAGAAAAGTTTGAAAATGATATGAATTTGAACAGAAAGAAAAAATAGGTTATACAAATTTAACAGATAAAAAAATATTTGAATAGATAGACAAAAAATTTTAACATATAGAGAAAAAAAATTAAACAGATAATCAACGAAAACTCAAACAGATAAAAAAAAGTCAACAGATAAATTAAGGGGATAAAATTGAAAATAAAATACTCTTTCAAAACAACAAAATGACTTCTCACCAAACTATTTTCATAAATGGTGGACTTCAACAAAAAAATATTCACTGGACTTAATACTTTAGACCATTTTTACTTTGGACTTTTTAACAATTATCTCTTTTTTTTTTTGTTTTTTTTATACGACGTAGGAAATTTTTTAGTGGTTTTTTTTTTTCGAAATTAATTTTTCAACAATTTTTTTCTTAGAAAAACCTATAGTTTAGGAAACATTGATTTTTTTTTTTCATAAACATATTTCACACTAAAAAATAAATAAATAAGACAGTATAAAAAAATTATGGATTTAAAAAAAAAATATTATTTTGGTTTTTAAAGAACAAAAAATAAAAACAAATAAAACAAAATTTTGAATGAATTTTCTTTATCTATGATGATCCTATTTGATTGAGTTCATTCCTATACAGTGTTTCTATATTAGTTGCATTAACTCTTGTCGGAGTGTTAGGCTAGCCCAACTACTTATTGGTACTATAATTTGGTTAAACATTCAAAGTTTAAACTTCATAGTGTATCCATCAAATTTGTAGCATAAAACCTTTTTACCTAAACAATTATGGGTACGACAATATTGATTACATAATTTGTAAATTCATAATTTTAAGTTTAGAAGAAAAGAGAAATGGAAATTTACATACGAGTTTTTTGACATTGCCTTCTACAGTTAGTTTAATGTTAACATCTCAATCATACTAACCCAAGTAAAATGTAAAGTTCCATTTACTTGCACTCATATCACAAAAAACATAAGTTAAATTAGCCAATTCAATTTTTTTTTTTTTTCAAATATAAAATTTAGTTTATATCATGGATAATTTTTTTTTTTTAAAATTCAAATATTATATACATGTGTATATATATATAATAGCAATTTTAAAATTTTGTATTATTTTATGCAAAATCATATAATTAATTTCAAAATTTGGGAAATAAAAATATAAGGAATGAAAATTACAACAAAAGAGTAAAAGCCAAATGAATATAAAGTTATACAAGAAAGATGTAATTATGTTTTCTGACTATTATAATTTGCAAACACTAATCCTTTTAAAAGGTTTGTGTAATATATTGAATATTGACTATTATAATTATATGTTGATGATGTTCATAATGAATAAAACATGCATCATGCACAAGGTGCTACATGCAATCTATCCTAATTAAAATGACTCTGATTACTTACAAATAAGGTATGTTAATGTGCTAGTATTTCTAAACTAGTAAAAAAAAAAAATTAGTATCTCGTTGTTTTAAATCAACTATTATTTATTCTCACAAGATATTTGGACAAAATTAAAAGTCGATTTATTTTTAAAGCAATTAGTTTTTGATTAAGTAAGATGAATCATTTTTTTAACAGTGAAAGATGACATTTCTACGAGAAGGTAAAGAGATAATCAATTTAACTGGACTAAGTTTATTTGGAAAATCTAAGCTTTTCCATTCGATCCTGCAAAATGGGAAGGGATTAGTGTGGTTATTTTGTCTTGATGAAATAAAACAATACAAAAGTTGTAACTTTGCTTGCATTTTTCACATGTGGTCGTTGGATCAACTGACTCTCTAAAGGTTGCAAAGCCTTCATAGTATCCCGGAATGGTAGGAAAATAAATAATCAAGCTAGGGAACAATCCAAATTTTATCCAGGCACAGACAAAACAACATGAAGTATAGTATTATATGAAATAAATACTACATTGTTGCTATATATGAAATCTACTTCTTTAGTTTCAAGCAATGAATTAAAAATTTAGATTAGTTTTCAAAAACAATTTCGTATTTTTTTTCCGCAATCTATAAATACAATAAACTTCACAAAATAAAAATTAAATTTATAATTACAATAATTTTATTAATTTTATTCAAACACCTGAATCACTCGTATCGTTTTCAAACCAAACACAAATAACTAAAAGATTTCTCTCAGCAATAGTCTATTTGTATTAAATCTTTTACCAAAATAGCTACTGTAGCATGAATCAACACATAAAAAGTAAAAAATTCAAATTGGTTTGAGATTAGATTACTATATAAATAAATGAATTACCTATATATTTGCACAACAATAATGATATAAATAGCAATAGGTAAAATGAAAAGAGAAAAAAAGAAAATAAAGAAAAGCAGAAAGGCTGCAAATTTCGAAAGAGAAAAGACACTCTCATCAAAACCCAGTATGCAATTGATTGTGGAAGTGGTAAGATGATGATGAGAAGTTCGAGAGAAGAGAAAAGAAAAGAAAAGAAAAGAAAAATTTTGGGAAAGTGGGGTTTGGAGGGAGAGAGAGAGACAGAGAGGAGAGAGAGGAGGATGGGGACAAGCGTCCTGGAGGCGCCACGTGGCGAGACGCAACTGGCTGTGTGCTTTTCGCTCCGGGGCTCCCACAACAACACAACTCCTGCTGCCGTGTCAGTGTTAACCCCGTCCTATGACCCCGGCGAATCCGTATTTGTATACCCTCTCTCTAAAAACTTTCTCTCTCTACATCTCTCTCTCTCCCCCTCTATTTATTTCATTTTTTGTCTCCTCTCCTTTCGCTCTCTCTCTCTTCTCGTAATCTCTCTCATCTATGTGCTTTCTATGCCCTAATCTATCTATACCCTTTTCTCTACACTCTTTTCCTTTCCCTCAATCTGATTGGGGGTGTGTATTGAATCGTTCTATTCACTTCTTGTGTTTTGATCCCATAAACTGATTGGTATGCTTCAATCTTCATCTGGGTACTGTTTTTTATTTTCTTTTAACTCATCTGTTGGTGGATTCTTGGTGGGTTTTCAGTTTTCCATGCAATTCCAGCTGTTTATTGTTTGCTTTGGTTTTGTTTTTGATGCAACTGTTGCTTGATTGCTGTGAATGTTGTGCTATCAGTTTGAATTTTTGTAAAAATTTGATCTTTTATTTTCTTGGGCTAGTGTGGGAATTGGGTTTTGGAGCTTGTTTTGTGATGAGATGTTGTTGAAATGGGGTTTTGGGTTCAGTGGGAGTTGAATGTGCTAGGTTGCTCTAGTTTTGTTGATTGGATTGATGAATTTTGTTTGATGATGTTTCTGGACGTTCATTGACTGATTGATTTGTAAAAACTAAAAGGGCTTCATGATTTTTTGATTCCTGTGATGATGTTTTGGCTTGTTAGTTAGTCTTTGGCCTTTGCATGTTTCAAATTTGCTTTCAATTGTAAATTTGAACTGGGAATTTAGGAATTTTGTAAATGACTGCCAATGTGATATCAGACTCCTTCAAATTTACCTTGGGTGTTGGTCATTGATTTGGAAACTTTGTGGGTTTGACTGATTGCATGGAGGTAGTTATAGATGTGGTTGCTACAAATTATGTTCTGCTTGAAGCAAGTAAACTATGGAATGAAACATTGTTTAAACTGCAAATTATGCTTTTCGAATGTGTGGCAAGGTTTGGATAGCCTGTTGTAGGTTGAACAGACAGTGTAGAAAGCTAAAATGAACTGCATGTTCTTGTTTTTGGTGATTGGCATCTTTTTAAACATTTCGTTTAGTGAATTTTCATCCAATTTCTCGATATGTTTCCTATGCTTCAATGATTATATTGTTTCGGTTAAATTTCTAGCTGGCTGTCAACAAAATGTTTCTAGTTCCCATAACAACCTGATTATCCCTACTTTCATGAATGCCTTCTTTCTGGAGAAGCAATGCCTTATGTGCTTCAATAGACTTCTAATTTGCGTGTGGCCCTCCTTTTGAGTTCGAGTTGTCTGGTATTGTTTTCATTTTTTGTTTTCTGTTTTCGAAAACCATTCTCAGAATATTTTTTTTCCTGAAGGGAACACTTCGTTATTTTCTGAACTTTCAAAAACTGTTTTCGTACAAAAATGATAGCAATATGAAAATGATGGTTGTTTCCAAACTTTTCATTGTCGATAATGTCAAAAATGAAACTGATACAAAAAGTTGAATGGTTTTGCAAATACTTTTGTCAGATTACTATTGTGTGTGCTACCTACTTCGTGGCAATCTTACTGTTCCATCTTGTGGAAATACTTTATGGTTCAGTTTGTGGATGGTCTCCTTCTTGTGTCTATAATGAACTTGTGTCATTTTTTCATGGTATCCTACAATATGAGTTAATCTTTGAGCCACATTTCTTGTGCGAAGCTTTGAATTTTCCTTGCATGGAAACATAAATGAGTCTTACTCCATGCAATAATAAACTGGATGATTTTCGCGATCCATGAGAGGTGTCATCTTATTGTTTTAGATAATTCCCTTATGTTTAGCTTTTATTAGGTTGGGGATCTTGTGTATTACACTTCATTAACTTAGAGGTTTTTAATGATGGTCATCAGTAACCTCACTCATGCTATGAACTTACTTGTTTTGAGAAAGCAAACTATTAGTTGGTATGTTTTGAGTCTTCCGACATCAGGAGCATATATTTGCTTCGGAGGATCAGGTATATCTTTTAATGCAAAGGCGGTGAATGTAACTTTGATACATGATGGACCAATAGAGCAATTTACTCTGTTAGCTTATATTGCATTTACTTACTTCGGCCACTAAGCTTACTAGGGATGTAAGAAGTTTGGTTTGGTCAGGGTTGAGGAAAAGTTTTGCACCAAACTGACATTTCGGTTTTGTTGGTTAAGGAATTGAAACAAATTGCATGCTACGGTTCAATTTTGTTAGTTTAGTGTAGAGGAGGAATCCACATGAGGTTTTGTAGGGTTTTATAAAAACTTGTGTAATTCCACATTGAGAATAAATGAATAAAAAGTGTGAAAGTTGTTCTATAAATGCCTCCCTCCCTTATTTTTATTACAAAATGTGTACTATTAGTCAGTTGTTTTCTCATGCATCTCCCAAACCTCGTTTATTGCCGTTTGTGGAAAACTTGCATTAATATTGTTCCTACTTTTACTTTGTTGGCACCTGGCTTTACTATAAAGTCTAGTGCTTTTGTTTCAATGTTGGATATTGATGTGTTCTCCCATTTTTTTGTTCTTTTTTGGTTTTTATGTGCAACTATGGTCTTATTTGCTATGCTTTTATGAGTTGAATCTTCTTAATGGAAGCATAGACTAGAATCATTAGATGTTTAGTTGCTTTAATTTTCCTTTGCAGTTGTAAAATGTTTAAACTTAAAATATTGGTTTCTTGTTAGATGCTTGTTTAAACTTTATTTTGCGTTGAATTATTTGCCTATGGTAGATTATGTGTTTTTTATTGACAATGTGCACCTCACTTCACATCGCACCTCGTGCCTTGGCCCCAAGAGACCGTAGCAACTTGGTACTTCTTTCGCCTTATGTAATACTGTTTATTACTTTCAAATCTTGTATTGGCTAACCGTATGCAACCTGTTTGCTGTATGATCTTGATGCACAAACACGCATCTGGAATTAAATGAGGAAGGGTTTGGTGCACCATTTTCTTTTTATTATTCTTTTCTTAAATTTCTTTAGCAAATATATGTCATGATCACATCAGATTTTAATGTGCTGTTAATTGGCATTGTTGTGTTTTGAGGCTAGTATTTCTATTCTGTCCGAATTATTTATGTCCTCTGTAAATTGTGAAGTGTAAGAATAGAATGTGGAGGATTTGATGCCTGAACTTTTCCATTGACTTGTGACATTCCTCCTGTCAGGGTTAATAGTAAATCTAAGATCCAGATCGAAAGATGAAGCAAAACAGTTCAACAACAAGCAAAATGATTAACCGAAACTGGGTCTCGAAGCGCAAACGGAGAAAGCTTCCATGTGGTGCAGATATATCCAATGCTAAGGAAGGCAATTCTGTAGCCTCGGAATCTGCCACAAGTACTAGTTCATCTAAACTCAGGTTGAGGAATGAAACTAGTTCTGGTCATTCTTCCAGCAAGAAGAAAGGAAATGATGGGGTAAATTATTTTCTTTTCTTTCTTTGTGTTATTCTTTCATTTTCTTATTTTTCTCTTACATGAGAAATGTTATATTATCAACAAGAAAGGAGACGTACAGAAGTGAGAGGTCTCCTTGAAAGGAATAACTAAAAATAGATTCAACTAAGGAAATTGCAAAGGCATGTCGTACCGCCATGGTAAAAAAAAACAACGCCCAATAAGTACACATTAATGTGTGTTTGGGAGGGGAAAGATTCAGTACACACCTAACCTTTAGCATAAAGCGTAAAGTGGTGGTCCAAAGACTTGAACCCATAACCTCAAGGTTATTAGGCCAAGTCTTAACCATTAAACCAATGGTCGTACCGCCATGGTAATCGTTGAAATAGTTCCCTTTTTTTACCAACTATTTTGGTCATTAGAGCACGTTTGGTAAGAGGGAATGGGCTGGAATGGAATGCACATTCCAACTTTGTATTCCTTTTCCGTTGCTTGGTACGCATTATGTAAGTGGGAATACCTATTCTGCCTTCCAACCTAAGGAATAGACATTCCTTTCCATCATGGAAACAGTGTCAGTTGGTTTTCCCTCCGTTGACTACCACCACCATTCCCTTCAAACACCCGCCTTCCATGACCCTACTAGCACTGTTACCACTGCCACCGCTGCTGCCTATCACTGTCACAACCATAACCACAACCCCAACCACAACCACCATCGCCGCCTACCACCACAACCGTTGCCACCATACCCCCGATCAACCCCCTCCCCCCCAAATACTAGCACTGCCTACAAGCACTGCCACCCTACTACCACTACCGCCCCCACCATCCTACTACCACCTTTACCAGCGCCACGGTCACCACCCTACCACTACCACCACCACCCTACCACAACCATTGTCACTACCACTATCACTACTACCATTATTGCCATCTTACTACCACTGTTACCACCACCACCACCACCACACCACTCTACGACCACCACCAATGGCACCACCACCACCGCCTATTACCGCCACACCACACCACACTACAACCCCCACTAGTGCTGCCATATTGTCATTCCATTCCTATATCATTCTATGTTGGCAACCTTCCATTCCATTCAATTCAACCTTTTCATTTTCACTCTCATTCCATTCACACTTCACTCCGTTCCTACGTACCAAACATAGCCTTATTGCTGTGGTTGCTTTTTTGGTTTGTATATTTATTAATTTAGGACCGTTCTTTCTCATCTTCTGAGCAAGCTTAGTTGTAAAGTTATTCTAACCTAGGATGGCAGGTGCATGCGACAGTTTGATCATATTTTAGCCTATTTTGAGTATTGACAAAGTTGTAAGCATTTACAAACTGCTTATGATTCCTCGTCTGCTCTTTTGTTTTGTTGTCCAGTACTATTATGAATGTGTGATTTGTGATCTTGGTGGAAACTTGCTTTGTTGTGATAGCTGTCCAAGAACCTATCACCTTCAGTGCCTTAATCCTCCTCTTAAGGTATGTTTATTTGTAACATAACAGCTGATTTGTTTCTGCTTTTGGTTAATGTGTCATATTTAATGCTAATTATTGTTTTTTTTATTATTAATATCTTTTAATTCATGACCCAAGCGTATTCCAACTGGAAAGTGGCAATGCCCAACCTGCTGTCAGAAAAGTGATTCAAATGGGCCCATGAACGATCTGGATGCTATCTCTAAGCGGACAGCAACAAAAAATATCATTGGAAAATCTAAAACTACAATGAAACTGTCTGCCACTGACAAGGAAACTGGTACTGACAAGGTATCCCCGATTTTTGGAAGCTCCATTCTTGGAAAGAAAAGATCAAAGAGCAAAAGAAAATCTTCCTTATCTCAAGGAGTACAGTCTTTTGAGAAGCGTATCAATGCATCTGCTGAGCCTAGTCATCTATCCACTGAGAATAACTTACCATTTGTGAGTATTGATAATGATAGAAAACCCGAGTCATCTCCAATAGATGAACAAGGAGAAAAGAAGTCAATATCTCCTGCAGTGGAAGTTTTGTCTATATCAAGGACTATGGATTTGAAGCCAAATGATGAAGCTCCTGAGAGTAAACCTATATTGGTTGACGACAATGGATCTCCAAAACAAGAAGCTGTTCCTGTTTTGGGCGCAGCTCCTGAGAGGAAGCCTGTCTTGCTTGACGATGATGAATCTTCAGGAAAAAAAGTTGTTCCTGTTTCGGGCACAGTCACTAAAAAAGACAGGAAAAGAAAGCGTAAGACTCGTATTGGTGACAGTTCTTTATCGAGGGCTATGGATTCAAAGCCCAATGATAAATCTCCTGAGAGGAAATCTGTATTGTTTGATGATGATGGATCTTCAGGAAACAAAGTTGTTTCTGTTTCGGGTTCAGCTCCTGAGAAGAAATCTGTCTTGCTTGACGACGGGAAACCTGTCTTGTTTGATGACAATGAATCTCCAGGAAAAAAAGTTGTTTCTGTTTCAGGCTCAGCAACTCAAAAAGACCGTAAAAGAAAGCGTAAGATTCGTATCAGTGACAGTCAAAAGAAGCCTAAGACTGATGAAGGTAAAGGCACCATGGATAAATCTCATAAACGTGGTTCCAAAGCAAATTCTGCAGGTCCAAGAACTACTAAATCACACCGAAAAAAACATAATAGTGCTGACCATGGGGCTTCTGCATCTGGGTCAAAGGAAGATTTTCATACCAAGAATTTGGATATTCAACTAAAAAATGAGGTATCATTTTCTTCTTTGTTTTGTTCATGTGGTGCTTGATTTTCAAACGAAAATTTGGAAGCTTTCATATACCAGATCTATGATTGTTTTTCAATGTTTAATGAGCTTCATGTTTTGAGGGGCTTGCCTTTAGAGCGTATATATGTATATTTTGATGTATATGTATTTATTTGAAAATAATTTTTTTACTTTGTACAGACTAGTACATTGTAAAAATAATAATGATGTTGCTGCCAAACAAAAATATAGATTATTTCTATATATATTAATACTTGACTTAATATTGCACAAGGGACACCGGTGGACTGGTGGTATTGTGTGGCACTTGTAGCCTGTTGGTCTGTGGTTCAAGCCTTTGTTACGCCTTTTGTGTGACTAGAGTGTCTCATTCCATTTGTTGAGGCTTTGATTCATTTTGCCTCAACTCTATACAAGGATGCATGTGGCAATTATATGTTGGTTAATGTTGAATTCGTCCGTAACACACTAGTTTGACTGCAGCGATCCACGGATTTGATGCATTTTTGTACCTAATCTGCCAATCCGTGGCAAGTACGCGATGGATTAAGTGACTTAGTTTACAACCCTGTGTAACATATGACAATATTGCCAGAGTTTTTACCATGTTAGTTGTTGTCTGTTTGTTTTTGTTTTTTTTTGGGATAAATAATGAAACTTTATTGAGAAAGCATCAAGATGATGCAAAAGAATACAAGAAGACCCAAAATTGGGAAGACACTAACAACTCCTAACCAATAATATCATCTAAAAGTCTAAGAACACAAACAAATCCAGATCTACCTTTCTCTCCAACCAATTGTACAAAGTAACTAATAAACGGTTTTCAAGCTACGACAAACAATGATGTATCTCTAGAAAAGTACACCGATTCCGTTCCAACCAAACTAGCCACATCACACAAAATGGCACCAACAATCAAAATTGTCGCCGATGGCACCCAACCTGAACCCCTTGCCAACTTCGCAACTCCTCCAAAACCACCCTCAACTGTACCCAAGCAATATTAAAGATAGAACAAACAAGGCCCCACAACCGCGAAACCACTGAACAATGGAGAAACAAATAATTCACTGACTCCGCATCTGCACAACACTGATTCACCAACACATGACCATGACGAACAAGATTATCAATAGTAAGATTTTGTCCCAAGGCAGCCATCTATAAAAGGAAAACCACCTTAGAAGGAACTCTCAGTACCCAAATACTCTTCCAAGGGAAAATCCCCGCCATACTCAAATAAAATGACGAGACAAAAAACTGTCATTTGGAGCCCCGAAACATCCCAAAACAACACATCTTCCGCCTTACCCGTAACCCCCAATCTATGCAAAAAACTGAACAACTCCCCCAGCTAGGTCACCTCCCAATCCTAAATTTGGCGATGCAACTAAATATCCTAAACTACCGCACCTCCAACCTCCAAACAAGATGCAACTGTGGCCTCCCGATCCATATAAAGATTAAAAATCAAAGGGAAATGCACCGCCATCACATCCACCCCACACCACTGATGCCTCCAAAAACATATCTTCTTTCCTGACTCCACCTAAAACTTCACCTTATCCCAAAACTCCCCCCACCCCAACCAAATCCCTTTCTACAAACCCTAACCATGAGACCCATTCACATCCCTTGATTGCCAATCACACCTTCCCACCCCGTACTTGATAGCAACCACCCTACGCCACAAACGATCTCACTCCTAAGCAAACTGTTAAAATCACTTACCCAACATTGCCCTATTAAAAGTCAGTAAACTTTGCACCCCAACCCATGCCCCTCTTTAGAACGATAAATCCGTCTCCAATCTACCAGATGATACCTAAACTCTTCCCCTCCACTTCCCCCACAAGAAATCCGTCTTAAGCTTCTCCTAACATTACGCCACTGAAACATGAATAACAAGCAATGACATAAAGTAGGTCGGAATGCTGCTTAATACACTCATAATCAGTATCAACCTTTCCCCCTTCGACAAATACTGCTTTTTCCACCCTGCCAAACGCTACTGCACCCATTCCATGAGCGCTTCCCACACCCCTTTCGCCTTGAAAGTAGCACCCATCGGCAAACCCAGGTAAGACATCGGCAAATCGGCCACCTTGCATCCTAGAGCCACTGGCCACTGCTAACATCGGCAACCTACCAACCTCCCCCATCGGAATTAACTCTGACTTACTCAAATTGATTTGTAAACCTAAACACTGCCTCAAAGCAAAGCTATACACAGCGTAGATATCCCAATTGCTCCACTGTCGCATCACAAAAGACCAAAGCATCATCCGCATACATTGAATGAGACACCCTAATAGTAGCTCTAGACAAAGGGCCCACAGAAAATCCCTCCGACGAACCCTCACACACTGCCCTAGCTAGCAATCGGATAAAGGCCTCCACAACCAAAATAAACAACAACGGCGAGAAAGGATCTCCCTGACAAAGACCCCGATAAGTCGGAAAAAACCGCACCGGTGTGCATTCACCAAGACAAACATCCGCACAGTAGATACACAAAGCTTCATCCATTGATACCACTTCAACCCAAAACCTAGCTAACCCATAGCATAAAGAAGAAACTCCCAATTTATATTATCATAGGCCTTCTCAATATCCAATTTGCAAATCACTCCAGGACGCCCCTGCCAAATCCGAGAATCAACACACTTGTTTTGTCATACCTTTTTGAATCAATGCAATAAATGCATTTACATCTGAGTTTGCTTCCATGCTTAACCTGAATTCGTGTGTCAGTCTGTTACTAGTTTCTCTTTGGGTATTTGGTGGTCACAGATTTCTTTTTCATTGTTCTGTTATTATCTTTATAGCTGTTACAGTAATTATATTAATTTTATTGTTTGCTTTAGCTTACATTGTCTTTTCTTTAATGCAGCAGGTTGCTGAGGAAGCAGGTGATCCGTCGCATGAAGCAGAAAAAATTCTAGATGGAACAGTGACATTTTTAGATCATGCTCCTGATGAAGTTCAACAGGTAGAATATGAATTTTTGGAGTAGGGTTTGTAGATTTAATCGAACCATATTTTTATATAATTTATCCTTATTTTATTTGCCTTCATATTAATGTGCATTACAGGTTGATCGGGTCTTGGGTTGCCGAGTGCAAGGTGATTACAAGAACTCATGTCCAATATCTATGGCAGTTGCAAGTGACTTGCCTTCAGAGGATCTATCACTTCCCGTCAGCCAAAATATACCATCAGAGGAAAATACCAATGGTGATACAATTTTGGATGGGGGAACTGCTGAAAATTTTACTGAGGCCTCTCAGATTGTCATCAGTCATGATGGGGGAAAAAACATTAAAAACGATACAAGAGTGGAAACGATACGTGTGTATAGAAGATCATCGAGTAAAGAATTTAGAGAAGGGAAGTCTGCCGATTCAACCAGGAGAGACACTAATGGTTCTACTTCTACAGCCATAAACAGTAAAAGTCAAGATGACTCGGCTGTCAGTGGCGATGGCTTGGAGAAAACAACCGAGAAGATTTCAAATGCTGTTTGTTCAAGAAGTCATGATGATAGCGAGCTTTCAAAAAATTTGCAAATGCCTGTTTGTCATGTAATCAGGGACACAAAGGAGTCAAAAATAGAAGTGAGGACAAATAACCATCCTGACAATATAACTCAAGTGTCCATCTTGGCTGAACCGGCATCCTCGCATAGTGCAGCAATCTCATACGAGTTTTTGGTCAAGTGGGTCGGGAAATCTCATATTCACAACAGTTGGGTTTCTGAATCTAAGCTGAAATTTCTGGCGAAGAGAAAACTAGATAATTACAAGGCAAAGTATGGGACAACAGTGATAAATATCTGTGAGGAACGGTGGAAGCTGCCTCAGCGGGTGATTGCTCTTCGTACCTCCAAAGAAGGTTTATCCGAAGCTTTTATAAAATGGACTGGTCTTCCTTATGATGAATGCACTTGGGAAAGAATAGATGAACCTGTGATTGCGAAATTGTCCCATCTGATTGATTTGTTCAATTGGTTTGAACAGAAGACATTGGAAAATGATGCTAAGAAGGATGATACACAAAGGGGAAAGGGTGATTGTCAACAAAGTGAGATAGTTACTCTTACTGAGCAACCTAAGGAGCTTGAAGGAGGCGCATTGTTTCCGCATCAGCTAGAAGCTCTGAATTGGTTGCGGAAATGCTGGCACAGATCCAAAAACGTAATACTTGCTGATGAGATGGGTCTTGGGAAGACAATATCGGCTGCTGCTTTTATATCATCGTTATATTTTGAGTTCAAAGCCACGTTGCCTTGTTTAGTTTTGGTCCCTCTTTCTACAATGCCAAACTGGATGGCGGAGTTTGCATTATGGGCTCCTAAGCTCAACGTCGTGGAGTATCATGGCTGTGCAAAAGCAAGAGCTATGATTCGCCAGTATGAATGGCATGCCAGTGATCCAAGTGGGTTGAATAAGAAAACTACTTCTTATAAATTCAATGTTCTTTTAACTACTTATGAAATGGTTCTCGCCGATTCCTGTCATCTACGTGCTGTTCCTTGGGAAGTTCTTGTGGTTGATGAGGGGCATCGCCTGAAGAACTCAAGTAGCAAACTTTTCAGCATGCTCAATGCATTTTCTTTCCAACATCGTGTATTGTTGACTGGTACTCCTCTTCAAAACAACATCGGCGAAATGTATAATTTGCTAAATTTCTTGCAACCTGCTTCATTCCCTTCTCTATCATCATTTGAGGAGAAATTTAATGATCTCACCACTGCGGAAAAAGTGGAGGAACTGAAGAAACTTGTTGCTCCACACATGCTTCGGAGGCTTAAAAAAGATGCTATGCAGAATATACCCCCTAAAACTGAACGAATGGTTCCTGTTGACTTGTCATCCATCCAAGCAGAGTACTATCGTGCAATGCTAACTAAGAACTATCAGATTTTACGGAACATAGGCAAAGGGGTTGCACAGCAGTCAATGCTGAACATTGTGATGCAATTAAGAAAGGTTTGCAATCATCCTTATCTCATACCAGGTACCGAGCCTGAATCTGGGTCAGTAGAATTCCTTCATGAGATGCGGATAAAAGCTTCTGCTAAGCTGACTCTGCTGCATTCGATGCTTAAGCTTCTACATAAGGAAGGCCATAGAGTCCTTATATTTTCACAGATGACAAAGCTTCTTGATATTCTTGAGGATTATTTGAACTTTGAATTTGGTCCCAAAACGTTTGAGAGAGTGGATGGTTCTGTTTCTGTGGCTGATCGTCAAACTGCAATTGCACGTTTTAACCAAGACAAAAGCAAGTTTGTCTTCCTGTTATCAACACGCTCATGTGGGCTGGGGATCAATTTGGCCACTGCTGACACAGTCATTATCTATGATTCTGACTTCAACCCACATGCAGATATCCAGGCAATGAATCGGGCACATCGAATTGGACAATCAAAAAGACTTTTGGTGTACAGACTCGTAGTTCGTGCTAGTGTTGAAGAACGCATCTTGCAGCTTGCAAAGAAGAAATTGATGCTTGATCAGCTTTTTGTGAACAAGTCTGGATCACAAAAGGAGGTGGAAGATATCTTACGGTGGGGAACTGAAGAACTTTTTAATGATTCTTCTAGTGTCGGTGGGAAAGATAATGGTGAAAATCACAGCAACAAGGATGAAGCAGTTGCAGATATAGAACATAAACACAGGAGGAGAACTGGTGGTCTGGGAGATGTGTACAAAGATAAATGTACAGATGGCAGCGGCAAGATCATGTGGGATGAAAATGCAATCCTGAAATTGCTTGACCGTTCAAATCTCCAGTCTGGTTCGCCTGATAATGGCGAAGGAGATTTTGAGAATGATATGCTTGGCTCAGTAAAGGTGAATCACATCACTATCAAATTAATTTTTTGTCAATAGCTACTGAAATCCTAGTAACTGAGAAAACTGAGATTTGATGCATTCGTTGAAACCATTTTTTGCTGAAATTGGATGACATAGTGCATCATTATTTTTCTTAGATTTTCCAATTAATTGAAGCATTAAAACTTTTCTAAGTAGAATCAAGTGAATTGGACAGATGCTTAGGCATGCTTTTTTAGAGAATTACTTAGCTGAGACAGTGTGCAAATTTTGACTCCTTTTTTGAATTCTGTCCCATCATCTTTTTGATTCCCAGTAGAATAGTGGGTCCAATTAGTCAATTTGTAGGTCTCCAATTGGCATACTTGCTTGCACATTGCATAGCACTTCCTTGATGTGCTCCCCCCCCTCTTACAATTGAAGGATTCGATCTTCTAGTTTGTTTTTTAAAACTTTAGAGGATTCTCAATGTGGATACCTTTTTCTCTCAAATTAAATTACTTTAGACTGCTTATTATATCAGCCTCTCTCTCTCTCTCTGGTGACACCCTGTTTTTCATTATAATCGTTTCTCATATTTATGTGGAAAACTGTTAATTCTCCATATGCCACATTATGTTTTGTTTTGCTAGATGGACTCTTGCATATCAGCCCTGCTGTATCTTGTTTGTATTTGTGGCTGAACTACATCACTAGTGTTTAAACTCAAGGAGCATTACAAAACTATAGTAACTTGTTAATTGTTGTTTCTTGCTTTCAATGTTCCTACATTATCCTTTCCAACCAGGCTGTGGAATGGAATGATGAACCAACAGAAGAACAAGGGGTAGCTGAATCACCTCCCGTTGTTGCTGATGATTCGTGTGCACAAAATTTCGAAAAGAAAGAGGATAATCTGGTTGGTGGTACTGAAGAAAATGAATGGGACAAACTTCTGCGAGTGAGGTAAGGACTAACTTCTTCATAGTTTCATTGACTCATTGTGTATTATAATTTATAGCTCTAGAATACATTATATGACCTGTTGTATTACTTCAGAATCTGACGTTATTGAGCTATACCCAGAAAGGATCTTGGAAAGGAAAAAGGGGCTTGGTCTGGGGATTCTGCTGTCTTCGATGTTAGCATAGCTTATTATATTGAATACAACTAATTCTCATTCAAATGCATAAAGAAGTGGAAGTCTCACTTCGTGTATAAAATTCATTATATATAATTGAGGTATGTTAATTGAAGCTTTCTTCAAATTGAGGGTTCAAAAATTGCCTCAAGAAACCTCAAGTGGTTTGGCTCAAGACAAATGCTTGAGGTTTCCACAAAGTTTAAGACAGTTTATGTAAGTCATTGCTTATAAATTGTAACATATCAAGGGACATTTTTCTGAATGAGAATCCTGTGATTTCTGATAGTCTGTGCAAAAGGAATGCTAGATTAGGTGGTGCTTATATTTTCCAATGGAGAGTCTACTTTGGACATTTTAGAGGAACATAAAAAAATAATACCGCGAATTACTGTGATGCATTGATTATTGTGAGTGTGCTAGTGGGTAACTTGATGGCAGCAGAAAAACTACTTTAAACATTAACTGCGTTTCATTGGTTTTAACTTTTGCAGCATTTGCTTGGGTAGCCATATTCTATATTGAATTTAGAGAGACAAGCATTACATTTAATAAGATATAATCTTTAACGCAGCTTGGGCTTGTTAAAGTGCATGTATTGCATGCTTGTACAAGGGATTTTCTCTTCTATTTCGTTATATGAGAAATACTGAAAGAATCTCAGAAAGTTGTTCTCAAGAATGGGAACTGCAAGAATACATAAAGCAACAATGGTAGAATTTGGCTATCCAATCTTCCTTTGAAGGTTATATGGTACAATAAATGAGTGGGAAGAATACCCTTGATTACTTACCGAAGGCAGCTACTTGGGAAACATAATTAATTTCAGACACTCATGGATTCACAAAGCATACTTCATAGGAGGGAAACTTGAATTCTGTAACTGGTGAAGTGATGTGTTAAAATTTCTCTTACATTGTCTTGTGTTTTTTTATTGGATCCTGTAGGTGGGAGAAATATCAGAATGAGGAGGAAGCAGCTCTTGGTAGAGGAAAACGCCAGAGAAAAGCTGTTTCTTACAGGGAGGCATATGCCCCACACCATGGTGAAACATTGAATGAGGTACTGTCATTTGCTTTTCTTGCAAGTTAGAACCTTGCATTCTTGACTTCTCAAGCTAGTTGAATTTTATTTTGTTTTTGTTTTGGTTGCAATACCTCTCTCTCTCTCTCTCTTTAATTTATTTATTTATTTATTTTTTTTTGTAGGAGTTGAAGGTAATTTGGTAATTCTTAGACTTACTATTCATGAGATGTAGTTGTGGTCTGTGCTCTTAGTTGGGGTGACACGAGACCTTTAGATGGATTTTTTTTTTTAGTTCAAGTCATAACTATCTGACGCCATAGTCCTAGTTGAAGTAGGAGGACTTGTCCTAAAGCCTATACATACACCTTTGTACTCCAAATTAAATAGAGATTAGTTTAGTCAAATTTCTAAACCTCATTTGGATTGTGCAATTCAATTATTTATGCGAGCGAGGTGTGATGCCTAAGGTATTATAGGAGGTATTTCTTCTTCTCTCAATTCCCTTTTGTGTCGTAATAAACTGCATGAAGACTAGAATAGTCATTCCCTCAATTTTGACTAATTCTACGTTAAGAAGCCCAATCCTTCTGGCCATCAAAATTCAACCCTGGGTGCAAAAAAGGTAAAACCACACCAAATTTATTGTTCATAAGCCCTGAGCCATAGTTGTCAAATTGAGAATCGTATCATGAATCAGAATTTAATTTTATTAATCTTGAATCAAATTAAATCAAGAATGTAAAATTTGGCATAAACTATGAAAAAGGATGTTAAACAATCGTATATATGAAAACAAAAAAGATTTTGGTGCATCTGATACAATAATTCTTATATAAGGAAGTGATTTTGCTGTTTAGTTTCGCACGTGTCATTTTTTTTGTCCCAGAGGAACTACATTGAAATGCAATTGAAAGTATGGGGTTTAAATTGACAATTGTGAGAAAACAGATGTAGTATGTGGTTGGGATGTCATAATTAGTTTTTGCTCACAAATTGGATTGTTGAAGTAACCATATATCTTGAGGTTGTTTCTTGAATATGATATTTTGTGTCAAATATTTGTTGTAGTCCTGGAGGATATAGCAACTTCCATTATTTCTTATTGTTGTTCATAATGCTTCCAAATTTAGCTTGTTAATTTATTCACTTTTGAAGTTTTTAGTAACTGAATTTAATGTATCTGTTGCAAACTGCACCTGACCTTTGTAGCTGTTCTTGTTTGTGTCAAAGCAGAGTGGTCCTGAAGAGGAGCCAGAGCCTGAACCAGAGCCAGAGCGGGAATACACACCAGCAGGAAGAGCTCTAAAAGCAAAATAGTGAGTTCCAATTTCCTAACAAACTTCTTGTTTATGGTTAAGATGGCCACCAATTGAGAAATTTGAGATTCTTAATCAATTTATTGCTGGTAGTGATTTGGGATATGGGAAGTAATAGGATGCACGGCTCCTCTTACAGTGGTTTGACCTGAAGATTCTATTCTTTAGCATAGGCACGGACATGACGTGATACAAACCTGCTGACACAAAAATGAGTTATTATTTTCATGAAGTATACTATTCTTTAGCATGGGATCTTGAATTGTTTGTTATTATTTTCATGAACTACATATATATTTATTTCTCACTTACAAAAATGAGTAACTTGTTATTTTAATATATGTATCTTTTGTTGTGTCCTAAGAAGCACGGACACTTCTAAGAAGGTATTGTGTTGTGTCTGAAACTGTGTTGGACACCAACACGACACGACACGACACTCATCGGACACTTCCCAACATTTGGACGCATATGAAACACATTACAAGTTTGAATAAAATAACTTGAAACTCAATGATAAGACAAAAATAATATAAATTTATACTTATTCCTCTCCTTTAGACTTGAAAAAATTATTTTCTTTACTTAAATATTCATAAGTATGACATATAAAAATATATATGTTGCATGTGTGCAACACGTCATGTCCTACATTTTTTGAAAATTTCCATGTCAGCATGTTTGTGCCGTGTTGCATGTCCATGTCCATGCTTCTTAGGTTTTCTCCCTAACGTGTTTGTGGCCAAATATTTTAGAAACTCTCATGTGTCCTTAGTCCTGTTTTTGTGTCCATGCTTTGCAGAGAACTTAGAAGTAATTCAAAATAATTGTCACAAATATCATTAGTAAGCTGCGTAAAAATTTAGAACTATTTTGAGGGAAAGGGTAGTGCATGTCGCGACCCCATCCCGTCCCAAAAAGGACAATGTAGTGACCGGCCAGTATTCATGGACTACCAAAGGCCGAACTTACGAAACAAGTCGGATTCTAGTGATAATTTCGGCAAAATTTTTATTTTGAGTTGTGGAAGCCATTAATTTCTTTAATTGAGTAAATTTGCAAATCCATTCAAAGCAGTGCATAACTTTATGAAATGAAACATACATCATTTAATTCTTTTATAAAGGGTACATTTATTCAAACTAATGTACTAGTATTTTAGTCATCTTTCTTTTAAGTTTTTTTGTTTTGTTTTTAGGTTATGCGTAAAAATATATGGGCACCATATCAAGCATAAAAATAAAAATGAAAATGGAGGAGAAAAAAAAGAGGATTATTAAGACTATAAATTGAAAATGCTAGTTAATTAAATCACTTTATTTTTCTCTGGAGTCAATTGATTTTCATCCATGATTGAAGTACAATCACCAAATTTAGTATATTGACACCACGCAAATGAGAGAGAAAAAAGAAGTGATTTTTGAGATTTCGATGTGTTGAGAGAGAAAGAGAGAAGAAAGTACGAATATGTAGTGTAATAGAATAAAGGGAGCATCACATTTGATACAATTAATGCAACGTGTCTTTTATTTTATTTTTCTTGATAACCGGGTGTTCGTTTTATTTTGAGTTGTGGAAGCCATTAATTTCTCTAATTGAGTCCATTTGCAAATCTATTCAGATTCAAACTAATGTACTAATATTTTATTCATCTTTCTTTCAAGTTTTTTTTTTTAAAAAAGATTACGCGTAAGTATATGGGCACCAAGCTGAGCGCACTTATATGATGGTTTATAAAGGGAGAGCATCTGAGCTGAGAGTTGAACAGAAGATTATTATCATCAAAATCGATGAGGAGTCTAGAGGGGAATTAGTGGAGATAACTGAAAAAAATCGAGTCAGAAGCTTTTCTGTGAAGATTGATTTGGGAGGCATTTTCTGGGTAAAGGAAGCTTTGCTAGAGGCGTGGAGAAGGTTCAGTGAGGTTGTTTTTCTTAGCAAATATAGAAGTCATTCTGCTGTGTTTTGTCTTCAGAGGTTCAATAACAAGAGGGGAGCTTTCGTTGAGTTGTCTAAGTGGACAGCAGGGATCAAGAGAAGCAATGTCATTATTCCGGTGGGGGTTGATGGTCAAGGATGGCTACACACAGCTGAGTTGCTCGGTAGGATCATTTGTGGAGGCAACAAAGGTGATGAGGGGATTAAGGTTGATAGGAGAGGGCTCAGGAAGAGTCAGCTTTCAGGGTCTTATTTGCCTCATATGGAGAAGGCCATCACAGGGGAGTTCCGAGACCATAAAGCAGGGGCAACAAGAGGTCAAAATTCAGGGGTGAACAGAGGTCGATCATACGCTGAGTTGTTTAAGGTTGAATCCTCATATTCGGTAAGGAAGAGTATGAGTATAGATTTGAATCACGCGGTAGTCTGTACCAGAATGGATTTCTTTATTAGTTGGGAGCAGATTGAGAGGGAATTATGCAAATATCTTAAGTGTTCTGTCACTCTTCGACCTTTTCAATTAAACCGAGCTCTATTTACCACCGAGAGTAAGGAACAAGCGGCAGAGTTTGGAGGATTTGGGATGCGATTTTTCGACAAGGGTATTGCAGTGAATTTGGAGAGCTGGTCTGACAACAGGCATAGCTGTCCTAATGTTATTGCTTCATATGGTGGCTGGGTTGCTATCTGTGATTTACCCTTTCATCTATGGAATGAGGAAACATTCGAGACGTTAGGGTTGAAGTGTGGAGGACTGCTGGAAGTGGATCGCAGGACTAGCACCTTTCAGAACCTATTTGAGGCCAGGCTGAAGGTGAGAGGATTTGATTCTGGTTTTTTACCATCCACTGTCGATGTCATGGTGGGGGAAGCATCGTTCAGTGTTCGTTTGAAGCCTCTGTCTAGACCTATCAGAAGAAGAGAGGTGTCTCGGCCATGGATTTTCCGGCATGAATCATCAGATTCCAGCGCCGGCGGTAGGGGAGACGAGAAGTTTGAAGGGTCAGCAAGGACACGTGGCATAGTGGAGGAGGATAGACAGTTGGGAAGACAAAGTGCATTGATTGGTGATGTTTCCGAAGTCGCGCATGACTCTGGGTTAGGGGTTGTCGATGTACAGGGAAGACTAAGCGGTGGTAGGAAGGATATGGAGCTTGGGCAAGATAATCACTTGGGCTGGGTTTCAGCTCAGGATGGGGCTGGGTTGGTAACTCATAATGGGCCCATTAATTCTTTGGGTCTGATTTTTCAACAAGTCGGCCCAAATGTTTTAGAAAAGTCTCAGGCCCAGGTTTTTGGTAAATCAGATGTGAGAGTTGAACCAACATTTGACTTGGGCCCGACCCACAACAATTTATCAGAAGATGGGGTTCTGGGTAGGGCTCCGATGCTTGTCTCTGGTTCGGGTCATGCGTATATTCGAGCTTCGGAATTGTCGTATGAGCATAGCGATGGGTGTTGTCATCTTCGTAAGGGTCTCGCAAGGATAGATCATGGAGATGTCGCGACTAGCAAGGCTGGGTCAGACCCACGTTCGCAGCTCAATCCGAATGAGGTTCAGTTGGGTTTAGCGGATCTTGTTAATCGATCGACAGGGGATCTTTCACAGCCTAGATGCGACAATCATGATTATGCGATGGTGGATAGAGCTGAGTTGGAAGTCCATCAGGCTGTCGATGTTTTGGCAATCGAAGTGGAGGAAGGTTTGTGCAATCCTCACGAGGTGTTGCAAGCACTGGACGATTATGGGTCTTCTGAACATTCTGAGGATTCATCAGGTCAAGAAGTGAGAGACGATGGTATAGAGGAGAGGGGAGAATTCTTGGATCCTAATCTTAATTGGTTATTTAATGAAAAGAAGATCTTGGACTCTGATAGCAAGGAACGCATCGAGGGTAAGGAATATGAGGATGGTTCTGATTCTTGTGGAAAGGTCGGTGACTCTTATGAGCAGGGCAATATGAATTCTGCACTTTCTGATCACATTCAGGCTGTTATCTCTTCGCCAGTTTCTGGGTCAATCTTGGGGAGGGGGGGGGAATCACATGATGGTCCAACCTTTCTTCATTCTAGCAGAGTGACTTCCAAGGGGGAGGACTTTGCGGCTCTTGCACCCAATAATAGTTTGGATACCACTAATAGATTGCTTCAACTTGTGGCTAATGAGGGAGATCATAGGACAGAATTTTCTGAGGGGACATCTCCGGATCATGGGCTAGGAGTTACAGATGTTTCAGTAACTAATGTTGATGAGACTGAGCACTGGTTGAAAAAGATGAGTAAATACGTGTCTTTTCCATTGGAGGAAGGGGATGTACCCCATTTTGTGCACTTGCTTGACACTCTTGGATTGTCCTTGGTAAAGAATAACGGGTTTAAGTCTAGGTCCAAGAAGAGGGAGTTTGTCTCTAAGGGGGGTAAATCTCAAAGAAGTTCGGGACCTAGAAAAGGGTGGAGGGAGTTGAGGAATCTTGCGAGTGGCATTAATTATGAGGGTAGGGATAAAGAGGTTGAGGGTGGTCTAGGTGCTCAATGAAGATTTTGAGTTGGAATGTTAGAGGACTACGGTCCTATAGAAAGAGGGCGGTAATAAAAGATTTTTTGAAAGTTCATCAGCCAGATATTGTTATGTTCCAGGAGACTAAGTGCGAGGAGTGTGATAGGTCTTTTATTAGGAGTATTTGGGGGATTCGATTTAAAAAGTGGGCTGTGTTACCTTCTAGTGGGAGATCGGGGGGTATTTTAATTATGTGGGATGACAGAATTGTATCGAAGTGTGAAATACTATTGGGGGTTTTTTCATTGTCTATTAAGTTCCGAAATCGGGATAATAGTGAGTGGTGGTTATCAGGAGTTTATGGCCCCAATAGAGCTAGGGATCGACGGGATTGGTGGGAGGAGTTGGGGGGTTTACTTGGGCTTTGTGCTCCTAATTGGTGTGTGGGCGGTGACTTCAACGTGGTTAGGCTTGTGTCTGAAAAGCTTAACGGGGTGTTTTCAAACAGAAGTATGAGGGATTTCGATTCTTTCATCCGGGAGGGTGCATTGATTGATCTTCCTTTGAGTAATGCTAGATTCACCCGGTCCAATCTTCAAGAAAATCTTGTGTGTAGTAGATTGGATAGGTTCCTTCATACCTTGGGGTGGGAAGAGTTGTTTCCCGACATTAGACAAGAGGCATTACCTAGGGTTGTGTCCGATCATTGCCCGGTGATTTTTGAGAGTTGTCCCTTTAAATGGGGTCCTTGTCCCTTTAGGTTTGAGAATGCGTGGTTAGAGGATTGTTCTTTTAAGGGCTATTTTAAGGACTGGTGGGAGAATTGTAAGCCTCAGGGGTGGGAGGGTTTCAAATTCATGCGTAAGTTGAAAGCGGTTAAGGAGAATTTGAGAGGATGGAAGCATGAAGTCTTCGGTGATTTGACTAAATTAAAGGCGGAGTTCGTGAGAGGTATTGAGGAGTTGGATGCAAAGGAAGTTGGGGAGGGATCATCTAGGGCTTTGAGGGACGAAAGAAACATGCTTCGAATGAGACTAGAAGAGACAGTTTTTAGGGAGCAGATTTTTTGGGGGCAAAGGGCTAAACTGAAATGGGCAAAGGAGGGTGATATAAATTCTAGATTTTTTCATCGTGTGGCATCTGGGAAGAGGCAAAAAAACCTGATTAAGTGTTTGGAGGTTGAGCAAGGGTTAGTGGTGAATAGGGAGGAACAAATTGTGAATGAAATTTTCAAATTTTACTCGAACCTCTACTCTGATGGAGGTGTGGATAGACCAGGGATTGAAGGCCTAGATTGGGCCCCAATTAGTGCCTCTTCAGCTAGATGGCTTGAGAGGCCCTTTGATGAGTGCGAGGTGCATCAGGCTGTGTTTGATTGTGAGAGAGATAAGGCTCCAGGTCCGGATGGTTTTTCAATGGCACTGTTCCAAGAGTGTTGGGATATAGTGAAAGGTGATTTAATGAGAGTATTTGGTGAATTTTTCGAGAGTGGGGAGGTTAACCTTTGTACCAACGCATCCTTCATTTGCCTTATTCCCAAAAAAGAGAAATCGGTGAAGATTGGGGATTTTAGGCCCATTAGCTTGGTTACTTCGCTTTACAAAATTCTGGGGAAGGTTCTCTCCAAAAGAATTAGAGTTGTCCTTGGGGAAACGATTTCTCCTGCACAAGGAGCCTTCGTGCATGGAAGGCAAATTTTGGATGTGGTTCTAGTGGCCAATGAGGTTGTGGAGGAATATAGGGCTTTGCATAAGGAGGGGGTTCTTTTCAAGGTAGATTTTGAGAAAGCATATGATCATGTGGATTGGGGTTTTCTGGATTTTGTTTTGGAAAGGAAAGGTTTTGGTTTTAGGTGGAGGAAGTGGGTTTGGGGGTGTGTGTCTTCGTGTAATATGTCGGTTATTGTGAACGGAAAAGCGGGGAATTCTTTTCATGCTTCTCGGGGTTTAAGGCAAGGAGACCCATTATCACCTTTTTTATTTATTGTAGTGGCTGATGTGTTGGGGAGGTTACTTGATGTTGCTAAGGAAAAAGGGGTTCTTGAGGGGTTTCTGGTGGGTAGAGATAGGATTAGTGTGACTCACTTGCAGTTTGCAGATGATACTTTATTTTTCTCTGCTAAGGAGGAAGGTAAGATACGTAATCTACTTATGCTTTTAAGGATCTTTGAAGTTGTATCTGGCCTTAAGGTCAATCTTTCTAAGAGCAGTGTTGTGGGAATTAATCTTGAGTGTAGTTACGAGCATCGTTTGGCAGACATGTTGGGTTGTCCCATTGAGAAGTTCCCTCTGAAGTATTTGGGACTTCCATTGGGTGGTAATCCTAGAACAGAGGCCTTCTGGGATCCAGTCCTCGTTAAGATTGGGAAAAGATTGGAGGGCTGGAAACGAGCATTGTTGTCAAAGGGTGGGAGATACACTTTGGTACAGTCAGTGTTGAGTTGTGTTCCTATTTATTTTTTGTCCCTTTTCAAGATACCGGTCCGTTTTGCAAGGCAAATTGAGAAACTTTTGAGGGATTTCCTTTGGGAAGGGTGTGATGAGGGTAAGCGGGATCATTTAGTTAGATGGGAGGTTGTTTCTCTTCCTCGTCATAAAGGGGGTCTTGCTATTGGGAACATTGTTGCTAGAAACATTGCCCTCTTAAGCAAATGGTTGTGGAGATTTCCCGAGAAAAGCGAGTCCTTATGGGGTTCTATCATTAAAAGCAAGTATGGAATTCAGGCTAATGGTAGAGATTCTATTGTGGTTAGTAGGGGCAGTTGTCGTTCTCCTTGGAAGTCTATCTCTCGGTTGTATCCAATTGTGTCTCGGTTTTTCTCTATGAAAGTGGGTGATGGGGCTAGTATACGTTTTTGGGAGGATGTTTGGGTAGGGGATACATCTTTTGATAAAGCTTTTCCACTTTTGTATCGATTGGTTCAAGCTCAAAATGCTTCAATTCAGTCAATGGTATGTTCTCATGTGGCACCAATATCTTGGAATTTCAACTTCCTTAGGAATCTTAGTGATAGGGAGTCTCTTGAGTTGACATCTTTGTTGACGCTGGTTGGTGGGTTTTCCTTAGCAGCACATCCTGATAAAAGGGTGTGGAATATTAGCTCTTCAGGGGTTTTTTCTTGTAAATCCTTGTTTGACAATCTCATTGATAAGTCATCCGTTCCTCTGTTTCCTCTTCACATGAGAATTTGGAAAGCGGGTGTTCCTCATAAAGTAAAGTTTTTCATGTGGTCCTTAGCTCATAAAGGTGTTATGACCAACGATCTATTCCAAAGGAGAAGGCCAAACCACCATCTTTGCCCTCAATGGTGTGTGATGTGCAAGAGGAGTTCGGAATCAGCGGATCACCTTTTTCTTCATTGTTCTGTAGCTATTCAGTTATGGCAGCGTCTATTTGGTTTGTGTGATGTTAACTGGGTTGCTCCACGGGATTGCACACATATGCTTCTTGTTAAGTTTGATGGGTTCGGCGGATCTAAGCGAGCCAAGTCATTGTGGTCTTGTATTGTTTGTGCTATTTTCTGGATCATATGGCTGGAGAGAAATGCACGGATCTTTGATGGAAAGGAGGCTGATGCAGATTCGTTGTGGGATAGGGCTGGATTTTTGGCATCTTTTTGGGCATTTGTGTCTCCTCCTTTTAGGGGAATCCCTCTTTTCTTGATTTCTAGGGATTGGGCTGCTATTTGTAACCCTTAGGGTTTGGGTTTGCTTGTTTTCTCTTTTTATGATGGCTGTGTTTTACTTTCATCATGTTCTTTTCTCTGTATGAGGATTTCTCGTCCTCCTTTCTTTCTTCTTTAATAAATTATATTTCGTTGTTGTTTCAAAAAAAAAATATGGGCACCATATCAAGCATAAAAATAAAAAATAAAAATGGAGGAGAAAAAAAAGAGGATTATTGAGACTTCAAATTGAAAAGGCTAGTTAATTAAAGCACCTTGTTTTTCTCAGGAGTCAACTGATTTTCATCCATGATTGAATTACAATCGCCAAATTTAGTATATAGGCACCACACAAATGAGAGAGAAAAAAGAAGTGATTTTTGAGATTTCGATGTGTTGAGAGAGACAGAGAGAAGAAAAAATTACGAATATGTAGGGTAAGAGAATGAAGGGAGCATCACATTTGATACAATTAATGCAACGTGTCTTTTATTTTTATTTTTTTGATAACCGGGTGTCCAGGCTAGCTTAAGCGCTGCAACGTGACTTTTACATTCTTCTCATTTCTAGAATACTCAACAATATCTCTTCATTTGAGCCCGTTACATCTAAAAAAAAAAAAAAATATCTAAATATAAAAAATGAATTCTTACATGACATATCAATCAAGGTGCTCCATGGACTAAAAGGATGATGATGTAGCTGCTTTCCTAACCCTTACCATATCAAACAAGGAAATGCTGTCAGAAAATTCCAAGTCTTAACTAACAAAAACTTCTTCGGCCAAGGATATGAGTTTGATTTTAAAAAAAGAAAGACATGGAATATGTACATTAGATCATTAAAGAAAAACTCTGGTAACTAATTGATCCATTTGTCTTTCTTTCTTTCTTGTTTGCTAGGAAGCCTGTCATCCCACAACTTTCCTTGTGAAATATTAACTATTACCCTTTATATGTTATAAAGAGCATGCCTACTAACTTTAAATTCCGTAAACAATTTCAGTAAATACACATGCATGTATATATACATGGATGCTCAGAACCTGTGCACAGCGCATGTTCCTAGGAAGGGAAACAAAACTTGGGTTTTAAAAGTTTGAGCTAAAGGTATTAAAACATCCTTAAACACTAATTACATGAATATGCCTTAACATCATATCTCCTGGCAAACTACTTAAATCGTGGATGAAATTTCCATCCACAACCACTTCTAGCAAGTCTGGAAGTGATCAAATCTACTCAACGACTCACCTAGAAATTTGAAAGCCCAGCTCTCGCCCTTAGATAACACTAGTAAACTTGATTTCAAAATACTATTGCGAAATAGTATTTTGCATTATTATGAAAATCAAATATATCATTCGGCATTGTTTTATCCATGAATAATTTATTGAATTATTTTGGATTCATAACATGTTTATGGATGTTGCAATTTACTTTTTTGTTTTTGTTTAACAGTGCTAAACTTCGGGCTAGACAAAAGGAACGCCTGGCTCGGAGAAACCTAAAAGAACTGTCTGCACCCACTGCTGGAGTTTCTGGACCTGGGTCACTCCCCCAACTCCCTTCATCGAGCTCTAAAGATGGGGACCAAGTGGCTAAATTAGTTCAACCAGTTGAAGAGAAGGGTCCAACAATCGACTTGGATGATAACAAATGTGGGCAGACATTGGAGGGACTGAAGAGCAAAACCGAGTCTTCCTTAAGACTGGGCAAGACATCGAAGCATAGACCAAGCGGTCATTCAGAAATCCCAGTTAAATCTCTTGCTCATCTTTCTCCTGACATCTTTCTGCCAAGTGACCATTTAGCGGGTCCCAGCTGTACGAACTCTGTGCCCAGCAGCAACTTGTTACCGGTTCTGGGATTGTGTGCTCCAAATGCTAATCAAATGGAGTCATCCCAAAGGAATATTTCAAGGTCATATAGCAGGCAAGGCAAGCAAGTAGTCAGACCGGAGTTCCCATTCCGAATAGCTCCTTGCTCTGGGACTTCAAATGAGATGGACGTTAAAAGTCACAAGACTACCTCTGACAAATTTGAACTACCAGATGCATCGGCAGAAGCTTTCCCGCAGCGGCTGAAAAATGGAAACCGCGATAGTTATCTCCCGTTTAACTTGGTACTCTCTCTCTCTCTCTCTCTACACGTGTGCATTCTCACTGTGTGCATATGCACGAAACGTGCACGTGTGCACATATATGTGCATGGTGGTTGGTTTTGAAATAATTAGCTCCACAGGCTATTCATTATAATTCTTGTTTTGTTTGCAGTATCCTCCGGGTATCCCCCAAGGAAGAGTTCCTGATCATTTGGAAAACCCAGGATCTACTTTCTCTGATTTTCAAGAAAAGATGGCCTTGCCGAAATTACCATTTGATGAGAAGTTGCTGCCTAGATTTCCATTTTCATCGAGAAACATGTCCCATTCCCACACTGACTTGATGCCAAGCCTATCATTGGGAACAAGAGTTGGAGATTCAAATGAATCGATTCAAGACCTTCCCACAATGCCGTTGTTTCCAAATTTAAAGTTCCCACAAGATGCAACGAAACATAGTCAGCAAGAGAGAGAGGTGGGTCCCATGTTGGGTTTGGGTCCAACACCGCACACATATTTGCCATTTCCCGAAAACCACCAGAAGGTTCTTGAGAATATAATGATGAGAACTGGATCTGGGTCGAGCAGCCTTCTGAAAAAGAAATCAAAATTAGATTTCTGGTCTGAAGATGAACTTGATTTCCTCTGGATTGGTGTTCGTAGACACGGGCGGGGCAATTGGGATGCTATGCTTCGTGACCCAAGGTTAAAATTCTCGAAATTTAAAGCCGTGGACGATTTGTCAGCAAGATGGGATGAGGAACAACTCAAGATCATGGATGGGCCAGCTTTTCCTATGCCAAAACCAATTAAGCCTACAAAATCTACAAAACCATCTCTATTTCCTTCACTCTCTGATGAAATGATGGCACGGGCTTTGCACGGAAATAGATTTGGTGGTCCCATGAAATTTCAATCCCACCTGACAGACATGAAGTTGGGTTTTGGTGATCTGGCATCCGGCTCAACACATTTTGAACCATCTGATCGACTTAGTTTACGCAATGAAAATTTTGCACCTATTCCAATTTGGAATCCTGACAAGTTTCAGAGTTTCCCTGGAGGCTCGTCTGCGGGACCCTCTGATAGACCTGGGACTTCTTCAAATGTGCAGATTGAGCAACCATTTCTCCTCAACTCATTTGGAACCAGTAGCTTCAGTTCTCTTGGTTTGAATTGCTCAAGCGGCTTTGATTTACAGCAAAAGGAGGACGTGCATGGGGCAAGTAAGTTTGGGAAGTTGCCAAGTCATCTTGATAGATCCCTAATTTTTTTGCACGATTCCCGAACTAACATGGGAGGTGATGAATTTACCAGTTCTGCTTTGCTGCCTGATTTTAATAAAGAACCAAATGTCTCCGATTTGAAGGGAAAAGGTGTGGTAACAGGAAGTAGTTCCTCAAATAACAAGCTGCCTCATTGGCTTCGGGAGGCTGTAGGTGCTCCTGCAAGACCACCAGATCCTGACCTACCACCAACGGTCTCAGCAATAGCACAATCAGTTCGCTTGCTTTACGGGGAAGAAAACCCCACAATTCCTCCATTTGTAGTCCCAGGCCCACTTCCTTCCCAACCTAGGGATCCACGGAGGAGTCTGAAGAAGAAGAAGAAGAAGAAGAAAAAGCAGAGGTCACATATGCACAATGATCTTTCATCGTCTATTCTGATGGCCCCACCCTTTCTTCCTGTCCCGCAATCGGCAGCGGGACCGTCCGGACTTCCTTGGATTGAAAAACCCAACCTCAATGTATCTCCTCTCAATCTGAATATGATGAATGCATCATCATCATCGGTGTTTCCAAACCTCCCGAAGAAAACAGGCGCTGGATTGTCCCCCTCTCCCGATGTGCTTCAATTGGTAGCATCGTGTGTTGCCCCTGCTCCAACAAGTTCAAGCTTCCTTGAAAGCAAGGTTCCTCCTCCTAAATCTCCTAAATCTGGTATGACAAGTTCACTTGTTGGTCCATGGGTTCCACTTGAGAGTGAAAGCGGTGATTCTAGCAAAACTCAATCCGATCCTGCTCGCCCTGAACGACCAGACATAGAGGAAATATCATCGGAGGGAACTGTGTCGGATCATCATGCGAGCGATCATGAGCAGTAGACTCAATATGGGATTGATAAGTACAACATGGCTCTTCCCCCGAGCTACTCAACTTTCAGGCCCCTTTACCAATGCGCTCGAAATTTTGTAGGCGAGTGTTTACACTAGAACATATAGGAATGTTTTGTAAATTACCTATTCGTTGCTGCTAACTGTGTTATCTCGGCCAGAACCGTGAACTTTTTTTTTTGTTTTTTCCCACATAGTGATGAACTGGTTTTTTTGCAGAATAAGGTTTGCTTATCAAGTGCATTAACAAAGTGCAGGTTCCAGCCCTAGTGAAAGGGTGGTGCAGCTCCTTGGCCTTTTTGGAGAGATGTAAATGTGACAAAAGACATACCTATCCTTTGGTTTTTCATGTTAGTTTAGTTAGCTAGCTCTTTTTGAGAATAAATTCTATCTGAAACTAGTGAAAATGCTAAGAAAAAAATTCGGTAGTATGTTTGAAATGTATAGTTGGCTCTTGTTGCTAGAGATTTGTTATTATATGTACTGATACTTGCTATGCTGTACCGGTACTCTTTTTAGAGGAAGGTTGTACTCCATTTTAATGAAGTTCTTGATTTTTGCCCCAAAGAGGAGGAAAACAATATATAGGGTCCAAGAGTGGACACTGCTACTCCCACACTCTCTCTCTCTCTGTGTATATGTATATACACACACGTGTGCGCGTATACACAAAATGTGCATGTATGCATGAACGTGCACATGTGAGCATATGCACATATAAATTACCATTGCTTCTCTCTCACACGCACACAAATGCCCAACTGATAAGGTTGTTTACTGTAATTGATTACACAGAGCCATTCCTTAAACCTATGGAAGTGTTTTTAGCGTTATGATGTGAAATTTAGAGTTATCTCAGGCATAAAGCAGATTGTTTTAAGCATGGTTAGCCTCATGGATGTTTGATGTTGATGTTAAATTTCTCAATTGTTTCACTTCTGTAGAAGTTTCGTTATGCAGTTGGAATTCTCTCTCCAAAGCCTTTGCGCTTGCAGGTTTTGCAGCCTATTCCTGTCTTCACTCAGCTGGAATAAAAGTTTCTGACGTTTTTGATTCTCTTTGATTTTGGATTTTCTAATGTTTCAACTTAAGTTGTTTTGGTTGCCTCTATTTTCTGTTTTGTTTAGCTTAGACTTTGTTTATTCTGTTTTTTTTTTCTTTCTCCCCTTCTTTTGGGTAGTTTTTGCTTTAGATGTTTCTTGTTTTATTATTTTGCTTCTTTTGGGTCGTTTTTGCTTTAGCTGTTCTAAGCTCTGAACTCTTTCTTGTATTTATTTTGGTATTGAATCAATGTTGTTCTTTTCCGTTGGCTCAAAAAACAAAAGGACTTACGCTGTGTTTGGTTGGGGAGAATAAGATGTACACAACGCAATCATATGTGAAGCTCCTGCCAAAGTGGGAGCAAGAATTGGGCAGCAAGAATTGGGGAGAACAAGATATACACAACGCAATCATATCTCAATTTTTAAATATGCTATTTATGTGACTCAAATTCGTGTTGTTGCTAACATTAACGACAAGCCTAACTTCGAATTCGTGCCGTTGCTGACAATAATGACAAGTCTTATTTTTAAGTCAAATCGCTCCCAATTGATTAATATGCATCAGAATCAACAGTTTTGTTTGCCCCTTTTCTCTCTCCCAGGGAAGAAAAACATAAATTCTAATCACTACTCATTGCTTACTACATAGTGAATTTTACCCTTGTATTAGGTCACAATCTTCACTCAGAATTTTCTTTGGTAGTCACACAATCAAATGTTGCTTTGTTTTATGTTGTCGATTTTGTGTTTAGTTTTGTCTCTGTATAATTATTATCAACATAATGATCCTTGAATTAAGTAGTTCAACAATGGATTAAAAGTAATTTTTCGACCTTAAAAGCCCAAATAAGTCCCACATGTTTGGCAACATATTTTCGGGCTAAACTATATATGGCTTAAAAGTTTGTTTGGCAACATGTGTACACTGCATTTGGTTACAACTTTTTGCTTTTGATTTTTAATAAAAGAATTAAAGCTAAATATTTAGTGAGCTCCAAAATATTCATGGGGACTTGAGAGATTGAGATTTTAGAGGCATTTCTCAGCCTTGTTTTTAAGCTTTCATTCATATTTGATTGTTTACAAAATTAGTAATTTTATTTTTAAATTCGATTTGTCACCATTAATTCCGGATTTTTGTCTCCCAAACTTGGTAAAAAAAAATAAAATAGAGTATATATGTTCATTAAATAATTAATGTAAATTTTTATTTTTATTTTTATTGAGATGATACCACATTGCACATGCATGCCTTTTTTTTTCTTTATAGTATTTTATACCCCTCTCTCTCTCTCTCTATATATATATATATATATCATTAGCTGAATTTAGTTAACAATTTGTGATGTTCCTTGCTCCAAACTTCCTTCTATTGGCTCACAAGGCATGTTTCAATATATATTTTGTCAAGTTCCTCTCTTTTGAAGCAGATTTTCATTTTAATGTATGGATCTTTCCAAAAAGGGGTCTAAGTCTTTTTTGTATATATATATATATATATATATGTATATTTACATTGTTAACCCTTATTCAATGTACACTTCAATTTAATTTTTATATGATACAATTCATATTTAGAATGAATATAAATTTTAAATTATTTTTGAATACTTGACTAACTGAATAGTAGTGGTGATGCATATACTTGGACATAAAAATATGTCACATTAAAATTTTAGTTTTCAATACTTAATTTGTATATTTTAATTTTATCAAACAATGCCATAAGTAAAATCTTCTCAATATTAAGTAGAAGGAATGTGATACTACAAAACCATTAAATAATTATTCATCAAACAAAGACGACTCAGTATATCACACTTGAAAAAAATTTCTTTGCTTGATTTCTTTGGAACACTATATAAACAACAACAATATTATAAACTTCAAAAAAAAAAAAAAAAAAAAAAAAATCCAAAAATTTATCATGGAATTTTGTGGATCAGATTCATGGTTAATACGGAGAAATTTTTATATGTCAATAAAGTATCATGTGGCACTATCTTCCACCAATCATAAATATATATGTTCTTATTATTCTCCAAACATCCAACATAAATATAATAGGTCCTACTGTAAAAAGTAAATCACAATAATAAAATATATCACATAACATATACCCTATCCGCATACAAAAATTATTGGTCAATATGACCCACAATCGATCAAGTTCAACTTCTACCGTACATCTAAATAAATTTGATGACAAACTTTCTGTGTGCATCTTTTCTGTATAAACAATATCACATTATGCTTGGGGTATACTCAATATTTAATTTGACCCATAGTTTCTCTCTCATCACCGGCCTATATATATAATCAACAAGAAGCTTGGGAGATGTAGCCACCCCCACATATACACCGCCACCACCACTCTCACTCTATCAAGAAAAAACTTCATTTCACTCAAAACTTCCCTTTCAAACTCACATTCCAATCTTTATTCATAAACATGACACAAATGGGTATTCTCAGGTGGCCCAAAACCACTCCCACCACCACCACTTGCGACGGCTCCACCACCACCACCACCACCATCAACCATGGTTCATCACCACCATCACCACCACATTGTTGCAGCCTATCGAAGCTAGTGAAAAAGCTGAAGAAGCACAGCCGATTAATGCTACGAACACCGCCTAGTCGGCAATCCTCGTTCCAATGCCGGTACGATCCCTTGAGCTACTCTCTCAACTTCGACACCACCGGTTGCGGAGCCTCCTCGGATGATCATGACCAAGATTACTACCAGTTCTACGCCTTCTCGTCGAGGTTCGTCGCGGCCCCCAAGACCGTACTCGACACAAAATACACAGATGTAACACAAAATGTCCGCATTCCGTCCCATTAAGATAGTGGAAACTTTTGGTTAGTGTCTTTTCTTTTCTTTTTTTTAATGACGAAAAACATGTTTACGAGTAAAATCTGAATATTTGTAATGGTTGAAGAAGCACAGGTATCGATTAAACTCGAAAGGCAGTAATGAGAGTTGAAGCATGAATTCAAATTTATAATTTGTTCCCTTAATCGCTGGGCTACCCTATGAGATTTTTAGATATATGGAGCATTTTTTGTTTCCTATAGATGATTTTTTTTTTTTTTTTTTACATGTATGTTTTTGAAAAAAAAATTAATTTTTGGCCTCAAATACACTTCTTCAGGCTTGTGCCCTGTTATTTGAAAAATTATAAATGTTTCTTCTTAGAATTTTTTTTTCAAGAGTATTAATTAAAAAAATAAAATTTCTAACTGTTCTCTTACGCAATAATAAAATTATTTAAATTATTAATTGAAATAAATTTTTGACATCATTAAAAACTGTGACTAATTGATTTTATGATTTATTAATAGAAGGAGTAATTTGTTATGAAATTATAAATTTCAAAAGGCAAGATATAATTTTCAAAACTACAAGAGACAATTTATATTTTAAACAAACTCATAAGATGTGTTTGTAATTTATCCTTAATTTTTAAAAAATGTGCTATGTTCCAATGGTTGTGAAAATGACTTGTATAATTAAAAGTTAAGATTGAATAAATTTAACTATTCAGTATGTTCGATTTCAGTTTTTTGAAAATTAAGTTTTTTTTGTATTTTTTTATTTTTAGTAAATATTTTTAAAATTTTGAGTATTTTTTTTATTTTTTTAGTTGCATCTTACTTAAATGTATCTAAATAGTAAAACATTTGTGAAAAAAATATTTAAAAAAATTAATAAATACACAAAAATATAAAAAATATACTGAATTTTCTTCTTTTTGTATTTTTTGGTATTTAGTGCATTTTTTAAAGATTTTGTTTCATAAATATTATACTTTTTAAGTGTATTTATATTCGGTGTGTCTAAAAATTAAAAAACAAATGCTCAAAATATTAAAAAAAATTATTGAAAACATTAAAATATAAAAAATAAAAAAATAAAATTTTTCTAAAAAATGTTTTCTGAAACCCAGAACCAAACAAGCTTATTTATTTACTTTTCTTCACATAATGATATTTCTTTGGATACGAGATAATATCGAGTGCCATATCTTGATGTATGTCATCTCAATTATTGATTTTTTTTCTTTTTTTCTTTTTCTTTCTTTGTTTGATGGCATCTCAATTGTTGATTGATATAGGCTAAGGCCTTGTTTGGGAACAGGCTAATTTAATAATTTTTTGATTATTTGGTTGAAATATGAGCTAAAAAAATTAGAATGTTTGGGATAACTTTTTAACTTTTTACGAAAAGATGTGCAAAAAGTAGAGAGAAAAGAGAATTTTTGACTTTTTAGTATGGATTGTTGACTTTTTAACTAATTTAGTAACTTTTTAACTAAAAGAGAGGATTTTCAAACAAGGCCTAAATATGAAATTTATACCAAACGGATAAAATAATATGTGACGCGGGCATGAGATGCAAACCAATCAACGGTTGCAATATGTGTGTATAAACTGGTTCAAACAATTAATTATAAAAAATAATATATATATATATATATATATATATATAAATATATAAAATTTAAAAATGTAACTTTTGAAACAATGTAGTAAATTTTGTATTAAATTTGACACAAGATGTAATACAGTTCTATTTTATACTACATCTTTAACCAATTGATTTTTTTAATAAAATTATTTCTATTAATTTCTAGGCAAAAAAAAAAATCATTAATTTATTATGTCATTATTAATCCAACAATAGATAAATTTAAATCCTCAACTACCCTCAATAATTATTATTAATAATTGAAATTCTTACCAAATTTTTTTTTTCATATTAATAACAATATCAGGTAGGATTCCAAAAACTCCCTTTCCTCTCTCTCATTTTGACACTTTTATTATTTCTTTGGACTCTCTCTAATCAAAGATTAGTTGAAGTTGGTGTTGATTCTCCAACAATTATAATGCCTAATGGAAGAAAGGTTGAAAAAAAATCGTATAAAAAAAGCAAGATAGAAGATGATTCGAGCTTTTGTTTTTGTGATTTAATAGAGAATTTTAACAAGAAAAGATATACTCAAAATAGAAATGTAGACTGGAAGAAAGAAAAGTAACGGCAGCAGAAGAGATGAATGAAAAGAAGCACAACCAAAAAAAAAACTTATTTGGTTTCAAAAAATTGAAGTTAAGGGTTGTTTGGGATGATTTAAATAAGTGTATTTTTGACTTTTTATGAAATATGGGTTGGGTTTGAAGTGATATGATAGAGAGGTGATGTGACTTAAATAAGTTGATGTAATTTAAATAGGATAGTAACTTTTTGACTTTTTAACTTTTTTAAGAGGTGCCAAACTTAGCCTTACTCTTTATAACATTAAATTATTACAATTTAATACAATTTTCATTTATTTTCTAACTTTGACTTAAATTAATAGTTAGCCAATGGTGGTTGTAGTGGGAAAAAAATAGGATAGTAACTTAAAAATATGGGTTGAGTTTGAAGTGATATGATAGAGAGGTGATGTGACTTAAATAAGTTGATGTAATTTAAATAGGATAGTAACTTTTGAATTTTTAACTTTTTTAAGAGGTGCCAAACTTAGCCTTACTCTTTATAACATTAAATTAATACAATTTAATACAATTTTCATTTATTTTCTAACTTTGACTTAAATTAATAGTTAGCCAATGGTGGTTGTAGTGGGAAAAAAAATACCACAGAAAAATATTACATTAGAGCATCTCTAACGGTGAATCAGATTTTTCACTAAATTTGAGTAAAAAATGACCAATTTTACCAAATTTAATACCACTCGCTCCAACGGTGCACTTTCATCAAATTTGTGCCAGGGACAACCGGTTGGTCAACCGGTTAAGCGAATTTTTTTTTTTTTTTGAACTTTTTGAACCTTTTAGTGGTTGACCGGCCGGTCGACCGGTTAAGCAAAAAATTATTATTATTATTTTTTTATTTTTATTGTTTGAACCTTTTCTTCGAACCGTTTGAACCTTTAGGCGGTCGATCGGTTGGTCAACCGGCCGGGCAACCGACTGGTTGACCGGTGTACCTCTTTCAACGGTCAGTAACAGTGATTTGGTAAAATCTGTGTCTCGTTCTCAGTTTGATGCTTTTTTTGCTGAAATCTCATTTTGATATCAATCCGGTGCAACGGTTGGAGAATAAAAAAGTGTATTTTCCATCAAAATTTGAATTTGATACCAACTTTGATTCACCGTTGGAGATGGTCTTATTAGAGCACCTGTCCTCTTTTAACACAGTAGGGCCAAGTTTGGCAAGTCTATAAAAAGTCAAAAAGTTAAAAAGTTACTCAAAAAGTTAAAAGGTTAACACTATTCACCAAAAGTAAAAAATTACGACTGCACAACTCCTAATCCTAAACTTTGCCTACTCTCCCTAAGTTCTCCTACACACTAATCTATATAATTTTTTAATACACATTTTTTCAAAAAAATTCAAAAAGTTAACCCAAACATCCATATTTTTTTCTCAATTTTTTAATCTAAAAAGATAAAAAATACACTTATTTAAGACACCCCAAACAAACATATTAATGGAGCAACTTGTAGCAAATATATACAAAATTTTGATGCGTTAAAATAGCACAAAAAATACTACACCAACATATAGATGCTAGGTAATTATTCAATAGTTTTAAAATATTATATAATATTATCCACGTAGTATACCAACCAACTCAATTATGTAATGAAAACTTTTCCGAGTGAGAGATAAGGAATGACACGTGTTTTGTGATTTCTCATTATTATGAGTACTATATAAACTGCTCAAAAAAGGCCGTGCTATGTCTCCCGAAATTCCCTCCCCTAATCCCCCGAATTTTCAAACCAAGGAAAAAAAAAAAAAAAAAAAAGTTTCCCAAAATGACGTCGTTTTGGGAATTAAGGGGATTAGGGAGGACTTTTTTAGGACTCCAAATCATTTTCCGTTCAAAAAATATCTAATATTTTTTCATAAAGCTATATACCCGCCAAAAAAAAAAATTGTTTAGAAACAAATGTTTAATAATTCATTTATTATTTACTAATCTATTGTGCTGATTTATATTGATTTGTTTTTATACTAATACAATCTGATAATTTAAAAAATACATAGATGAACATTTTCTTACCAACTTTTTTTTTAAAAAAATTAATTTTTTTTAATGGGTTTTTGGCAGTTGCTCTTTTGGTCAAATTATTGGATCCTCTGAAACCAATAAGACTTTTTGCAGTCAACTTACTAATTTTAATTTAGTTCTTTTTAACTCTGCATCATATGCAACTGGCAATGTTAGCTTTTGAAAAAAACAAAAAACAAAAAAAACCCCCTTAATTAATAGGTTTTTTTTGGAAGCTATGTGACTACCAAAAGTCCAAAATCTTTTGATTAATGCAAGCTGGTGTGTGAACTCTGATTCCATTTTTATTATTATTATTATTATTATTTTTTTCATTTCTTTTTCCACCTTCCTCAGAACATACTGATTTTACATATAAATTATTGTACCATATACTTTGAAGGCAAAGATCTTCTTCTTTGGTTCTCAAAAAACAACTTCTTCTTCTTTTTTTTAGGGTTTTAATTCAACAAGTAATTATACAACAATAATCATATACATAAATTGCTCAAATTTAGCAATAATGCGATTGATCATATATGTTAATAGCCAAGAGTGGCTATAAAAAGATATCAACGTTCATGGTTTGGAGATGCACAATGAATAGAGGCTATATTCATTCCGTAAATACTTCTCTATTTCATTTTTATTCTTTTAAAGTTTTATTTGACTTAGCTTTCGTTCGAGATGTGGGTTAGTTTTTGATTTTTTCGCTAAAAGTCTTGTTTGAGATGGGTTTTTTTAATTTTTTTTTAACTTTTGTGAGAGAAAAAATGAAATAATTATAGTTTAGATATGGCATTTTATTTTATTGACCTTTTGGTTTATTTTATCTTTTTGTAACTAAAATAACTGAAAAAAACCTTATATCAAACGAAGCCTTAGATAGTATTGTGCCCCTAACAGATTGATCAGCCTTGGTCGTCGGGCTAAGTAATACTAACAGTGTCCTA